AAAGCCAGGTTAGGTCAGGAGTCACAACACAAATGATAACATTTTGTCCTTTCAACAAAAATCATACCACCTTGGGAGCCACAACATTTAACAACCAGTATGTCTCAGTATGTGATAATGTCCTAGTATAGACTAAACAATATAAACAAAAACGCAGATTTACTTCGCTCTGCTTTAAGCTTTAGATATAGCCGCTTTCCTCCCATCTCCGCCAGGAAACTTTTCCTCAGAAGTAGATCAGTTAAATATCTCTCAACGTTTGACTTTTTTACGAGGCTGAAGTCGCTTCTTATTCTCCACCTTCTTGTTCGAATTTTCCCATTCCACCTTAAATTCTAACTGAGGTGCCGAATGTAAATGCGGCACCATTTAAGGTAGAACGGGAGAATTTGAAAGAGAAGCGACTTCAGCTTCGCCACTTTTTAGTGTGTGACAGTCTCTCATTGCAGATTTACGTACCAGGAAACCAACTGCGCTGCTTATAAATGCGAATAACGCATCGCTGCTATGTGACCTGCAGTCTGCACGCCGGTTCTCAGTCGTTGAGAAACAGGGCTTTCGCGCTATGTTGCACACGACCCGTCTCAAAGATACTTTACTGACACAGCGATCCCCCCCGTCTGTACAACAAGACCAAAACTGAAGTTATAAAATCACTAAAGAAAACGGGTAGAATAGCTGTAACGTGCTGTGTGGCCATCCACTGCCACTGGATCTTATTTCACCGTTACTGCGCATTTTATCACAGATGAGTAGCAGCAGCTTCTCATGCTCCAAACAAGAGCACTGAATGAGAGCCGTGTAGTTCACTTGCCACATCACTTCCATTTGTTTTATTAAAAAAGATATTGGAAGTAAATTCATTATGGATCATTACAAATACTTTGCCAAGTCACTTTAAATAACAATAACACAGAGTCACTTAGTCACTTTAAAATGTATATTGTCTCTACATGCTGTATATATTTTGTGTATATTTAATATATTTCAGTTGGTTTTTCTTGTATTTTTATTTTTACTTTCTGTAGAGTAATTAGCTGAGCCTCACCACAAGCATTTCAATGTGTAAATGTCCTGACATGTTGTGGAAGTGACAAATAAACTTGAAACTTGAACTCACACAGTGAGAAAATATAAATGCTATATAGAAAAAAAAGATGCATCGAGATGCATCGATAATCGTTTTATAATCGCATCGAGGGCTACTCTGAATTGTAATCGAATTGAATCGTGAGGTGCCTAGAGATTCCCACCCCTAATATATATCAGCCATGAAATCCTTGTTTCTACGCTCATTGTCCATCATTTATCAGCTCCACTTACTATATAGGTGCACTTTGTAGTTCTACAATTACAGACTGTAGTCCATCTGTTTCTCTGCATACTTTGTTAGCCCCCTGTTCTGGACCAGCACAGAGCAGGTATTATTTTGGTGGTCATAATGTGTTATGCCTGATTGGTGTATATATATATATATATATATATATATATATATATATATATATATATATATATATATATATATATCTTTGTGAGTTGATGTATAATTAGCTTGTGAGACTATATCTCTGTCACTGACTTTACACTGTAACACTGAGCTGCACTCAAACTTTCTCTCTATTTTATCTTTCTCTCCCTCTCAGTGACACTTTCTTGCCAGCCCATGCACAGCCAGACATACAGTCTCAGAGGCTCAGTGAGAACAAATAAACTGAATTAAATCTAATTTAGTTTACAGCATTTTGCAAATTCTCTAAGCAAGAGAGTAAAAATCATTTTCAGAGGACACCAAATGTAGTGTTAAGAGTTTGCCAAAGCAGCCAAAAACACTAGCTTTAAAGCCCAAACAGAAAGTTCAGTGTGAAGCTGTCAGTGTTTTATTAGTGGGATTTCCAGCACCGTGGTGCTGTATGCATGCATGACAGGTTGGAGTCAGTGAGGCAAAATCTCCATGCAAAGTCAGTACTGCACCAGAGGGGGAGCCCAAGAGCGATAACGGGTCACAGAACCAGTGAACGCCTCACAGAAACGGATCTTGAGAATGGCCATGTTTAATAGTCAGGGCCGGCTTTACCTAATAAGTGACATAAGCAGCTGCTAAGGACCCCACGGCTGCTAGGGGGTCCTCTAACAACTTCCAGGTTATTACTGTACAATTATGTTGTCTAAGATTCTTGAGGGAGAGGGAAGAAGGCAATTGGTTAAGCATGTCTCAAAAAAGAAAATATGCATCTGGAACTGAAAACAGAGGAGAGAAAGAGAAGATGAAGAGAAAAAGCTTTTTTTGTGGTGTTAATGATATGCAATTTTTTTTGGCTTGTAGTTGGACAACAGTAGGGGATCAGGGGTCTGTCTAATGAAACAAGTTCAAGTAAAAACAGACTTTCACAACACCTAACAAACACAGGCAACCCAGATTAAGCCTAAGCCTAGCTGGGTTTTCAAAATAAAATTCAAATCCAAAGAAAAAGAAAAACATCCATTTGAATGATTCATCTATTGAATATGGACAGGATTTCAACACTATTAAGCAGCATTTTTTTTAAATAATGCAATTTGGTGGATCCTTCATAATTGGCTAAAACTGGTTAAACTTTATCTGCTATTATATTTCCAAATGAACTTAACTGACCAGTGTTGATTTAACGTATGTTGGTCAAACTCATCTTAATACAGCTGGTTTAAAAGTGGTCTCTGTAATGCAATTTGGAATAATTGAATAAATAATAGATGGGAATGCTGAGAAGTTTGGCCATAGTTTACACTGCAACTTATTAGAACCCCAACCAAGCATCCAATCATCAGCAATACACAAATTAGCCAGTTATAAATGGACATAATTCAGACAGCTTGTGATAGTCATTGTTTTTTAGTTAGCCTTATATTTTGTTGTCCATCAGCTAGCAAGAGCGGTTCACCCATTATTATACACGTCGACCAAGTGACCAGTCTGAGGGCAAAAGGCAAGGGGCTCAAGCCACCCTTGGGGTCTACCTGTGCCTGCAAACTTGCACAAAGCAGCAAAAAGGTCTGCACTCGTATTCAGAATAACAAGATTTGCGAAGGAATCCCTCCAGCCATTATCTCTCACATTCTGATATGAACACATCTCTGTCTGTATTGCACACACACACACACACACACACACAGATGAACACACACACACACACACACACACACAGATGAACACACACACACACACACACACACACACACGCACACACACAGATGAACACTCACACACACACACACTCTCTCTCTCTTGTGCAGACTGTCTGAGTGTCTGAGTGAGTTTCCCTCCTAACTGCAGGGCCAGATGGTAGTGTATTAGGCTGCTCTGGTCTATGAGTGACCAGATAAACCACATGGACAAGTCTGGCATCACTCTACCTTCTGCACAGATGGCCCAAAACTGAGCAGCAATGTCATGGGACTGACCGCAATACCCTTATGCAACCCACAAGAGGCACAGAGAGAGGTAGATGCAGTGCCACTGTAATCACTTTGTATTGTGTGTGTGTGTTGTGTGTAGGGCCTGATCAATCTCAACATTTTGTGACAATACAGATACTAGTTTAAAGGAACTTTTATTTTAAAGTAGCTTTCATTGAACAGTGCTTTAAAAACTAATATAATTGTCAGTTTTCTAAATTCAGATAGCAAAAATTCAGTGTCTGAAATAATATAAATAAGGTACTAACTGAAGGGGCCACTGTAAAACTTACAAGCCAAGAAATGCCAAGAAATGTTACCTGAATGTCTTTTACAACCTTCAAATATCTGTGTTTAAACTAGACTACTAGTCTGGCACTAACATAAATCAGACTGCAAGCCTGGCGCTAACATAAAACTGTAAACAACATAAGGGTGCAAGTTGGAATTAGCATGTGACACACCAGCAAACAAAGGCTACTTATACAGTGAATTAAAAGGTTTCTGTGTTAAACACTGCTATGTGCACCTGGCAGGTTTCCATATGTTCTCGATTTAGTGAACTTTATTAGAGTCTGTTTATCCATTTTTCCCTTTGGGATTTGTTGGCATCAAGCTAGTAGTGGTGTACATTCAAATCGCTCTAGCTTAAACTAGAACAAGGACATTTAAAGCTTAAAACAGTCATTTAAGTAACATATTTCTTTGCTTTGTACATTAAGTGACTCTTTCAATAACCTTACATTTTCTGTGTGCTGTGTGGTGATGTTACGCATAACACTAGTGCAACATTTACAATGTTATTTACAAAGTTATTTTGAATGAGGCGATACATCTGCTATAAGCTAAATAATGAAAAATGGTAATAGGAAGAAACACATTCTCGTTTGAGGTAACTGAATGATCTTGTTCAGATAATAGACTCTTTCAGACAAGCCAACATTCCAAACTTGGCCGCTTTATGGTGCAGTAAATGGATAACCACGTAGCATGTATAAGTTAGTAAAGGGAGCTGCTAGCTTAGCTGTCTGGCTAAGTTGCTGCACAGATTCTGCAGCCACCTGTGCCAGTTACAGTTCTTTTTTTTCACTACAATCCGTGTGCTTTCAACACTAACACTCTTTTCAGCCTTTTCAGCAGTAATGACAGCAGGATATCATTGGCGTGGGGATTTAATTTAAAAATTATTCTCAGGGATACATCAGAATAGGCCTCTGTATGTTTTGGACAACCATCTCTTGAGTTGATGGATTTAAACACTGTGGTATTGGAGATACTTGATAATTTATGCTTTCTGCCTTGTTAATGCTTTGTGAGACATAACATTGACTTAGAAATCTGTATCCTACCTTTCTGTGCACAGTAACGTAATGCTTTTTTAACAATGTGTATACATTTGAATATATTGAAAAATGCAAAGACTATTTAAAATTGTGTTCTCATCCAAACTGACAGCCCTAAAACATAGATTACAAAGAATATCCAGTGGTAACTCACCATTGGCAATGCAATTTAGTTCAAGACTAGGCTTTATCTAGGTCTGGGAAATCAGTCCTTGAACATATTACCTTTAAGAAGAGCCGGATGGCTCCTGTTGCCTTGTGGGAAATGAAGTACCAGAACCTCAGTTTACAGGTGGCACTGGACTCTTTCCATACAGAACTCCTCATATGAGCTTTATCCCCCTTTAAACCTATTGGAGTGGCCGATATATACACAAAGTGACCTGGTGCAGAGAGAGAGGGAGAGAGAGAGAGAGAGGGAGAGAAAAGGGTAGTCATCAGAAATGTGGCCAGGGGTGTACGACTCAGAGTGTATTGATCTAGTTCACTCACTACTTAACTGTAATGAACACTTTTCGTGCACACAGTGTATATGAGGCACACCAGCTGCACAGCCTTCATAAAGATGAGTTCAGAAACGCTCGCTTGTGATCAAATTTCCTCATCAGTGTTCTCATTAAAGGAAGACCCAAAGCCTATGAAATGTATTTGACGATTAAAACAATTAATTCTGGACAAACACTAATCAGCTATGTTAATCATGTATAAAAAAAAAAACATGAATAGTTTGATGATTAAAAACGCCATTAGATTTAAAAGCAAAAAAGCAAAGCAAACAATTTTTTTTCGTCTCTTGCCAAGCATTCTTTGTGAGTGTGTATCACAGGCATCCATGTTTCTGTCATAAAAGAGGATAAGTCAAAACCTTGCAAAAACTTTTTTTTGCTGCACTATTTAAAAATGCCAGCTGCCCTTTACATTCAGTGTAAATTTTATGACGAATGGACCAAAAGCAAGGCCCAAAATTGCTTGGAAAAAAAGGTTACATTGACTTACATTAGTGAATAGTAAAGTAAATATGTTTTTCCCTTCTCCTGTAATGTTACCATTTTGGAGATATGAGGTATTGTTCCAGCAGCAGCGATATAGTAAATGTATGAACATTTTTCCTTCTCTTATAAAGTTGTGGGGCTTTGGGGGCTTTGTCTTGCAAAGTTAGTTGTGGACAGATGGCCAAGATGACAAAAATATACAGATAAATAAGGTATATATTTTTCAAATCGAATATTAAAACTGTATTTTATAACATTGCACTGCATTTTGTTACTGAAATAGTTCAAAAATACAATTTCATAAAAGAAGATAAGAAGTAATACACAATATAAAAACAGGTTTGTTGTCTCATTGGGTGAGAAGGTGGGGCAACTGTCTGGGGGGCCAAATTAAACGTCCTCACGGCTCAGCTTTGTCCCACTTTGGGAAGCTCTGTGCCATACAGTGGATGTGTGTATGTAAAATGTGTGTGTAGAAAAAGTAATGTTCTTACCATTTTCATCCATCAGCGTGTGATCATGTGGTGGTCTGATGCTATGGGCTGAGCCTGTACCCAACATCCAAGTAAATTTGTCTGTTGGAGAACTCTTCCAGCCACAGCGTCCGTTTTCAAACGAGCAAGACGTCCCACACTCCTTTTCATCAGAGTTATCCCCACAGTTATCAATAAAATCACAAGACTGCTCGGGTTTAAAACAGCCACCATTTTCACAGCGAAGTAAGCCTTGTGGACAGGAGCCTGTGGACACACATACATGCACACATAAACACAAAAGTATGAGTAAACAGAAATATACAGTGACTGGTCACTATAAGGTACAGCTACCCTGTATCTACTTTCATTGTTTCATTTTATCAGGTCAACTTGTTATAGTTGTAAAATTACAGATCGTAATCTTTTTGTTAACTTTTCCTTACCAACCAATAGTCAGGACCCCACAGGACCACCACTGAGAAGGTATTATTTAAGCCATTTATACACTGCAGTGACTCTGAGATGGTAGCGCTGTGGTAGTAATGTGTTGAGCAGGTACAAGTGGAGTTTTTAAACACTTACTGTCCACTTGTTCTTCCACTTTCTAAGCATATTTAGAGATGATTGTTTGTATTAGTCATCCTATAGTCCTTCATCAGTGGTCAGTTTCTGGCCACAGGATGCTGTTGGCTAGGTTGGCATACTATTTTCCGTCCAGCAGTGACTGAGGGGACAGATTTACTTACGTCTCACACTGCAATTCACTAAACAGGCGCAATGGTGCTTCAGCACTTACTGTAAAATCAAAGTGATGTGACATGCTTTTGGTTTTGTATGTTCATTTGCATGACAGTTCTTAAGAGATAACCTGCTGAATTATCCAAACCCACCAGCACAAAGTGTTGGTAGACTGCTGGTATTTAATGCCTCTCTTAGTAAATCTGTTCCTGGGTATTACACACAGAAACACTTCCCTACCATGTCAGTGTCACTGCAGTGCTGAAATTGATTCACCAACCAAATAACACCTGCATAGTGATGGTCCTGTGGTGGTCATGACCATTAAGGAACAGGGTGAAGGAGAAACAGATGGACCACAAGCTGCAATTATGGAACCACACCCACAGTCATATACAAAAGTTTGGGTAAAGTTACTTGTTTTGTGTTTTTTTTAATTGAAAATAAGTTCATATGTTTTCTACATAGAGAATACCTGTGGACTTTTTAATGCACAATGATATGAATTTAACGTATTGGGAAAAATAAATATGGCCTGTGTGAAAGTTATGGCACAGTGTATATTTTATGTTTTTCTCCATATTAAACTCTGCAAATACAAAGATATTGTTCATAGAATTTGTAAAAATGCCATATTTAAGTGCGTTCCCTACAGAAGGTATGTTATAACTTACTTGCACTTCAACATAACATATCATTTCACCAGGGCTATTTAAACTATTGCATACAACTGTATATGGTAGGTGGAGCTGATAAATTGGACAGTGAGTGTACATGCAATCAGAGGTTTATAACTCTGCAGTGTGTGTGTGTGTGTGTGTGTGTGTGTGTGTGTTCCTGCAGGGCTGTTAGGCATTAAAGGGGTGATGAGGCGTGAGGAAGAGAGGAGGTCTCTGTAATCACAGAAGAAAAGAATGAATAAATCCTTTAATCCTTTCTTCCTGTGGAGAGCTAGAAGCCAGAAAGAATCTTTTTCAAAACACGTCCCTAATCCTTTTTTCGTTCTCTCATTTTTTTCCAGCAAAATAGGCCATTATGCCTGAGATTAATGCTGATGCAAACTGTAAAACTGTGAAGCCAAGACTGTAAAATACAGAACTGTACTGTAAATGACATTCAGAATCTTACAACTGGTACAACCTCAATACCAATGATTAAAAAAACAGCGTTTACCATTAATTAACACTGACTTTAAAAGTTTAAAGTTAAAAAGGATAAAAAGATAAAAAACACTGTATCGTCATTGCTGCATGCAAACCTTGTGCTACCGTTTTTTTCTTTTTTCCTTTTTTTTCATTTTTTGTATAATTAAAAAGTCTTGTTCCTTTTACTTCCATTACAAGTTAATAAGGTTTTTTCCTTCTTATGTAAAGTTACCATTTTGGAGGATTTATTCCAACAGCAAAAATATATATTAATACCTTAAATGATTCTGTACTTTTGTACTAAAACTCAAGTAAAAATACACAGTGATTTTATCTAGGCATCTGTTAGCCTTGTATAAGCTCCATTACTTGGGACTGAGCAGAGTAATAAAAGGAATAAATGTCCATCACTTTAGTTTAAGGCACTTTATGTCAGCACAATGTCATTTATCGCATAAAACATCTTATGTCATTGTGCAATTAATGGCATAAGCTGTTAATAAATACCCAAGTATTGCTTTCTAAATCCACTATTGCCAATGCTTATGCATGTGTTATAAAGTCCCTAAGTAGCCTTTAACCCCTTAACAAGCCATGGGCCTGCCAGCAGGCCCAAAGTTTTATTGTACCCTTCTATAACCTAAAGTCCCTGTAGTTACCAAATAATAAGCCTTAGTATGAAATAAACCTGGGTTGTTAAGGGGTTAAATGAAGTGCTACCAAAGGGAAGGGTCTTACCTGTTATAGCAAGATTTGGGTAAAATTTAAAATATTAATAGGATGTTTGTTCATTGTATTAAAGTGGATATTAAAATTGAATACATTTTTACCAGATTCTGAGGGTATGATGAGCATGCCACACACTACACAATAAGACAGACTGCCATATCTGAATAACTGGAGGATAATGATGAGGAGAACAGAACTGGGGTGTGTGAAACATATCTGTTATCAGTGTATCTCTGGAGAGCAGCACAGCAGCACAGCTCTAATGGCTTCAGGAGAAATTGAGAGTAATTAAAATTTGAAGCCTATCTACTGTGTATGTGTGATATGATGCTGATCAAACTCAAGGGGCCTCAAACACCCAGAGAGTGCAGATGTGTGGTTTAAATTAAAAGTGTGCCTTTGCATATTAACAATATAATCTACAGCCTTAACAATCAGTCATTAATCTTAAGACTCATTATCCAGTAACTGCTGTACTTAGTATAACTAGTCTGGTACATGCATTAAACTAATATGTAAGTTATGAAGTTCTTAGGGTGAGGAACTGAAGTGTGGATCCACATACAGGCCCACAGTGGGTCATCTTATATCTAATCCCCTCAGAAATATTTCCTGAAAAACAAAAACATATGGCCATTTTGACTGAAAGGGTGATGTCTGTCTTTTAAACAGTATTGCTAAGCATGAAGCAAATGTATCTCATATCTTTTGTAAATATATGCATCACTATCGTCAGTTTATTCTTCACTGAATCACACATCTCCAGTAAAGCTTATTCTGTACCCTGAAGGTCAGTACCAATCAGTCAAGCTACCTACATGTTCACACTGAAGGCAGAACAAATTTGCATGCAGAAAAAGACTAAAAAATGCAGGAGCCAGAGATGAAAAGAGCAGGAGCCTGAAATGAATGTAGAGACAAATTTTGATACACCTCTAGCCCTACTAATTAAAACGAAAAAAAGCTTTAAGACATCCCAACAGAAAAAATGAATGCTCTGTTTAGCATGAGCTACATCTAACAAGAAAGATCATAAAGGATAGTGTAGGTAGAAACGTTGAATGTTCAAGTAGCATTGTGTAGTTCAAGAAAAGGTACAGTTTGTGACTAAAAGTGTTTTATTATGTACAGTTTGACAAGAAGACTTGGCAGGTGTACATACTACATACATCTAATTACAGACCACCTGCACCAAATTACAGATTGCATACCCCAGACTACCTACACCAAATTACAGATTACATTCCCCAGACTACCTACATCAAATTATAGATTATGTACCTCAGACTACCTACACCAAATTACAGATTACATACCCCAGACCACCTGCATTAAATTACAGATTACATACCCCAGACTACCTGCCTTAAATTACAGATTACATACCCCAGACTACCTGCATTAAATTTCAGATTAATCATTATTCAATCATTAACTTTTATTCATCATTCATATGTTAATCATTCGTAACTTTTTTGAATGGAAATTGTCTCATGCGAATCCTGGCAAATTAGCAGCTGTGAAATTGTGTTGGCAATCTATGAATGCACGCGCAATGAACACTCTCTCTCTCTCACACACACACACACACACACACACACACACACGCACACACACACACATACACAAACCAGGGTCTTTGTGCTGGAGGAGACCACACACAGACCAAGCCATGGACTAACACTGTAATACTCTTGGGAAAAACACATGCTTAGTTCCTGCTTGAACAGGAACATTTGTTCCCTCTTCTCACACCCCACAGTCTCGACAATCAATGAAAAAACCTCCAATAAATTTCAACATCTCACCCCTGTCCCTATTGCCCTTGCACGCATCTGCATCTCTCTCTGAGGAGCCCATGTGTAAATAACTGAGGGGATGCACAAGGGCCCGTTTGTTTTGCACAGAAACCCATGTAATACAGCAACTGATGCAAGACAAACACAGTGGGATCTCATAAATAACAAACACACATTTAAAGAGAAATCATTCACCCAATAGAATCAATGGAGTAAAACAAGCTAATTATTTCAATCACTGTATCTCTGCATGCATGAAGAAATGACAAAGCAGAGAAAAACAATATCTGCATGTTATTTCCATCCCAATAATTCTTCACTGAAAAATAAAGTATCCTGTTTTATTTAAATCACTGGCAAGTTACCTTATTTGCATAGAAATAATCAGCATGTATGGAAGAACCATAGACACTGCTTCGTAAGATTACATTTCCAGGAAATAATATTCCTTTATTCCCATATGGCCCAGCTATTCAAGAAGAACGGCTAAACGTATAGTTTGCTGGTGGTGTTACTTTGCTATTCCTTTGGACGTTGGCAAGGAAACTCAAATGAGATGCATCTCCGGGGCAAAACCTACTAAAGACAACCCATCAGTACTTAATGCAGTAGGGGAGACCAGGTCAATCCCAGGGAGGGACGGAGAGAGAGAGAGAGAGAGAGAGAGAGAGAGAGAGAGAGAAAGAGGGAGAGCAGAAAACATATATACATATACAGAGAGAGAAAATTAAAAAGTGAGTGGGTGAGTTTGTTATATAATACTGTGACAAAATATGAATTTGTGTTGTGACTGTATTAACCAGCTGGAGCTGTTTTAATATAGTCGAGTCAGTGATGAAGATATGAAAGGAGCTAGAAAATGAAGAAATATGAGAAATATGGAAATAGAGACATCAAGAGAGGAGAGGGAGAAAAATAATGAGACTACAGTGGTACAGGAAAAGTAAGGTAAAAAGCAAGAATGTAATAGAGGGGTAAATTCAACTGAGCAACGGAAGCAGAACTTAAGTAAAGCTGTAACACTGTAGGGTCAAAATAGGTCACAGAATTGTATTTATTTACAATTTCTATGGTTCAAGTGGGTTTTAAGCCATCCCTTCATTTGGGATGTACAGAATGAAAATTATTAATGAAGGGGAGACCGAGATGTGGTACACAATCAACTTCATGGGCGACAGGATGAGTGAGACATCAAATATGCTATAATCATAGTTACATATCAATTGCTTAACATACACACCATGTATAAGACAAACACACATATAAAAAACGCTAGATAGATAGATAAGACATGTACACTGACCAGCCACTTGTATCTACACTCATTGTCCATTTTATCAGCTCCTCTTACCATATAGGTGCTTGACCACCACAGAGCAGGTACTATTTGGGTGGTGGATCGTTCTCAGCATTGCAGTGACACTGATATGGTGGTAGTGTGTTAGTGTGTGTTGTGCTGGTATAAGTGGAACAGACACAGCAGTGCTGCTGGAGTTTTTAAACACTGGTCCTCTCATGTCCACTCTATTAGACACTGCTACCTTGTTGGTCTAGTCCTTCATCAGTGGTCACACGACACTATTGGCTGAATATTTTGATTGGTGGACTATTCTTAGTCCAGCAGTGACACTGAGGTGTTTTAAAAACTCCAGCAGATCCACTCATACCAGCACAATACACGCTAACACACCACCATCACGTCAGTATTACTGCAGTGCTGAGAATGATCCACTACTCTAATCATACCTACTCTGTAGCGGTCCTGTGGGGGTCCTGACCATTGAAGAACAGGGTAAAAGGGGGCAACAAAGTATGCAGAGAAACAGATGGACTACAGTCTGTAGTTGTAGTAGATTAAGAAGAACAGTACATTGGCTTTGTCAAACCAACTTACTAATAAAAGACAAGTGAAAATAAAGCATACCAAAGGGTAGAGGAGGGGGCAAGTCTGGCATGGGATTGTTGCTAAGGAGACAGCCGGGTGAGAAAGTGATGTCATCAAGGCAGATGTCACCTCTTCTGTTCCGGCCCACCTTGCCCTCAATCATGATCTGGAAATGCTCAGTAGAGGACAGGGGCACTTCCTGTCGTATCCAATAGTTGCCCTTGATGACCACTGAGGTCAAGCAGGAGGGAGTGGGAGAACATTGTGGTCAGATACACACTTAAAGTACCACAGCCCTCTCCAGACATGTGGAGGTAAAACACCATCTGCAACACAGAGAAAAATCCACTTTATTAGAAAGCCAAACATGCATTCACTCACTTTATGAGCTCCACCTTATACCTCCACAATGTACGTAATTACAGACTGCACTTTCTATATCACTGGTCAGTTTCTAACCACAAGACCGCTGTTGATCAGATTATTTGGGTGGTGGAATGTTCTCAGTAAATCAGACACAGCAGTGTTGCTGAAGTTTTTATATGTGACAGTGACCCTCTAAATAAGCGCTTAAGGATGAGTAACATAAATTATGCATCAACAGATGAGATACAGCCTGTATACTAACAGGATATAGTGGCCCCCAAAAACTGTAGCTGGGCACTGTGGCTATTTAACCATTGGTAAACCTTAATGAAGTTCAAAGGTTTCTTTGTAGAATGTTTAAGAAAGTGATGTTAGTTTCAGAGAAAAACTTTCAGCACAACATTAAACTGATGTGGAGAAATCCTGTACCAAGCTGCACTAAGAGTGCTGTAAAGCAGAGAGGAGGAAACGTCAAAGTCTGGAGGTTTTCTTATAATGGTCTCAGTGAGCTTGTGTTCACTGATGAGATCATAAAAGCAGAAGTGCACAAAGCATAAAAAAGCTGTAAAAAGACTTGCGAATGATTTATTAACAACCATATTACAGATGAAACGAGAAGAGGAAAGTTTATGAACAGAAAGTTGGCTTGACAAAGTTCCCAGCAATCCCAGGTGGTTGCTAAGGGGTTGCAAGGCCATTGCTATGGTATCCCAGACAGTTTTTAAGGTGTTGCTAGTCCATTGCCATGGCATCTCAGGTGATTGCTGAGGTGTTACTAAGCAGTTGCTATGGTATCCACAGTGGTTGCTAGGTCATTGCTATGCCATTCCAGGTGGTTCCAAGTGGTTGCTAAGGTGTTGTTTGGCTGTTGTTATGATATCCCATGTGGTGGCAATATGTATGTGTATACATATATGTATGCTAGTATGTATGTGAGTCTGTATGTAATGTCTATGAGAGGCAGTTTGAGAGCAATGTGACAACATTTGTGGCCATTAGATTTGAATTGTCTCAACATTTTGCCATTCATTTCCTATGGGGAAAAAATCATGTTTGGACAAGCACTGTACAAAAATTGTACATGCAATCTGTCCCAAAAGCACAAATGTGCACTATTCTACAGGCTCAATGATCATGCCAAGTTTCATAGTTCTAGCTTTAACAGAGACCTGTGAAAATGGTACAAAATAAGTGCAAAATAATAATAATATAAAGAAGAATGTAATTAAGAGCAGTAAGTTTGTCAAGCCAATTTAGTAATGACTGCAAAGAAAGAAAACAGTTGTATATATATATATATATATATATATATATATATATATATATATATATATATATGCGCTCCCGGACGTCCACTGTCTGTCTATCTTCCCTCTCTCTCAGTAATTGGCTCCACCTGTCAGCGTCTGATCGATTAGAACTGTAGGTGGGTCTGAGGATGGACAACTAGCAGGCTGCTGGTGATCATCTTTATCTCTCTTCCTTTGTCCCCTTCTTTCATTTGCCTTCTCTCTCTCTCTCTCTCTCTCTCTCTCTCACTTTAACACTCACACATGGTGCATGAACAGTTGACGGATGTCTGCACATCTGCCTGCATAGCTGGATGGGTCTCCGCTGAATCATGCAGTTGTTTGGACAGACATTTGCATGTACACACACAGGCATTCAAGCCTAAAAAGGCATTCTATAGCATGACCAATGCCTTATTTCTATATGCAGTATACATATCTGCTTCTCTCTCTCTCTCTCTTTCTTTCTCTGACAGAATGATTGATAGGTGTTACATAGTGAAGGTAAGAAGGGCAGTCAGGCTCAGTGACTGATTGATGTGATCCAGTATCACATAGACAGCTCCTGACACTGCTTTCCTCTGAGGCTGCCACCATCAAAACTGCAGCATGCACTGCCAATCCAATCCATTACATTATAAACCACCTAAACACCCATTTACCTGTCCCGTGTAAAGGTTTCTGGATATACTGTGCCTTTTTAGAGACCCCCATCCAGGGTTCTAATTGAGGTGGGGTTGGAGGGAGGGTCCTGGTCACCTCATTAAGGTAAAGATACCCAGCATAAACGAGCCAAAACTTGGCGCCCCCAAGACCTCTGCCACAAATCAAACCCTGCCCTATCCCAACATGTGTGCATTTGTCCACACACTGTGAACACATACCAATTCCCCATAAACTCTATAACTAAATAACCTAAAACTGGACTAACATTTTTTTATGTTGAGAAAAAAATATCAATATAAATTTAATACAGTAACTGATTTGATGGACTGACTGTCAGTCTTACAGTCATAATTATTTTACCAATGTAAATAATTTAGTTTAACGTATTGACTTCAGTCCTACCCTAATGATATACATTCACCGAGCACTATACTAATATTGGGAAGGGCCTCCCTTTACTCTGAAAATAGCCTCAATTCCTCATGGCATGGATTTTACCGGTTTCTTTGAGATTCTTGTTCATGTTGACATGATTGCATTATGTAATTCCTGACGATTTTTCAGGTGCACTTTCATGCATTCTACCACATCCCAAAGGTATTTTATTGGATTCAAATCCAGTGACTGGGAAGGCCACTAAAGAACACTGAACTCACTGCTATGTTCGAGAGTTTTTCTTTGTGACATTATCATGCTGGAAGTAGCCACTAGTACATGGACAAATTGTGGTCATGAAGAGATGCACATGGTCAGCAAGATTACTCAAATAGGCCGTGGCATTCAAGTGATGATTGATTGTTATTAAGAGGCCCAAAGTGTGCCAAGGAAACATTCCCCACACCATTACACCACATTTCCACTAGTTCCACCTGGACTTTTGAGATAAGCAGGTTGGGTTTGGGATTTTTGTGTCACTGATGTAGGACCTGAGGTATGTATTTAGGGCTAAGATGGAGAGGAGTATCACTTCTATTTTCTTTCACATAAGTAAGCTGATCTTATTAACACAACACTTTTAAGGACCTTGGTTTTTTAACAATGTAACCAATTTTGAATGTGCAGTTTTGGAAAATTGTTATATGGTTATAAATGAGTTAAGCATATGAATTCAGTGGGCTGTTGAGCTCCAAACTGTTGATATTCATCTGAAGGTTTGTGTCTTACATGCAATAACAGTAAAAGGAATAGTTGGAAAAGAAACATTCACAAAATTTTCCCTGATATCCTAACATATCTGTTATACTTCACCAATTTAGTGTGGTGCCAACTAAATACCTAAATAATCATACACTCACTTTAAATCACAAGTTGTTAAAGCTGCACTATGTAAGATTTTGAGTTCAAATTGAAAGAAGAAGCATTACTGAGTGAGGAGGAAAAAAAAACACCTGTAAAGAACAGTTACACATTTCCACCAAAATGCCAAATCCCCAGCTCTTACAGTGCAGTAATCTCTAGTGGTGCTTGTGTGTTTTCTGAGACTGTGTAACACTCTGAGCCTGTTTACACCTCTTCCATCTTTCGTTTCCTTGTTTGTTCTTTCACCTCCTAGTCAGCTCTCAGCAGACACATTTCCACTCATGTGTACAGGTGATGAAAACACATTCCAATTACACAGCTAAAAGCAGTCAAGATCCATCTCTGACAACCTCTGGATGTGGTCTGAGTAATCTGAACGTGATCAAATCACCAAAAGCACATGATAATGCAAGGTGTAAACAGGCCCACTGCTACCTATAAAAATGGACAAAAGTGCAGAGTAAAACTCAAGCATCAAGATGGCCACTCTTACCGGTTTTAGTTATGTGATATGTTGATATAAGGATGTCTATGTCAGATGACTTAACAACTCAACGTGCTGATTTAGACCTGCAGTTTGCATAATGCTAATTAATAGGGTATAGGTGTTCCACTACTTGTTAGCTACATCAGCCTGGTAGCCCTTTTGCCAAATAGACACCAAACATAACTAAAGTATTTCTTTAAATAGAATGTAATGTAGCTAATAAATTAATTTGGTAACCACCCCCTACTCAACCCCCACTGGCAACACTGCCCCAAAACAGCTGTTCACCTTGCACTCCCTGCTGCGGTGGCTGAAAATTGGTCCGGAGATTCGAGCTATATCTCCTACATGCTGGGGAAAGGAGTTCTCCAGGTACAGGTAGTGTCCTGATGAGTTGCGCAGCGTGTGGTCAGTGGATGGGCCAGTACCATAAGTGGAAGTTCTTCCTGTTTTCATTTTCCAATCAAAATTGTCAGTCTTCAGCTGTCTCCAGGAGCAAAGATCAAATTCAAAATTGCATTGGTCACTTATGCCCTCTGGAGAAAGAACAGACACACACACAAACACACGAAAAAGCTTTATTATTATTGGAAGCTTTGGAGTATTTATTAATCCTTACTTGTATGATTAGTTTGTTTAAATAAATAAATGTGTAAATACATTAATGCAGGAAAGAATTAAGAACACACTGCGGTAGTTTATGTCTTCCCATAAATATTGTGTAAGGTGTAGCGTCTTACTGCAGATGTAGTGGTTCTCATCTGAGGCATCTCCACAGTGGTCAATAAAGTCACAAAGGTTCCCCTGAGGGATGCAGTGACCATTAGCACAAGCAAACTCGTCCTTTTGGCAGGGAAGACCAGAGATGATGGGAGGGGCACAGTCTATAAAGGCAACATCATCAACCACCACATCACCCATGTAGCTAACACCTCGCTTAGCACGCAGGATCACCTAGAAGAAACACACATACATACACATAGTTAAACTACCTAGCTTAAACTAAGGGGGCCTGACACACCAAGACAACTGTTGGCTGTTGGATGCCATCAGGACCAAGCCCAATCCCAAACATTGGATGAAGTGGTGTAAAGCACGCCGCCAGAAATGCATTCTGTGGAGGGACAAATCACACTTCTCTATCTAGCAGTCTGACGGACAAGTCTGGTTTTAGTGAATACGAGGAGAACATTACCTGCCTGACTACACTGTGCCAACTGTAAAGTTTGGTGGAGGAGGGATAATGCTATGGGATTGTTTTTCAAGGGTTGGCCTAGACCCCTTAGTTCCAGTGAAGGGAAAACTTATTGGTTCAGAATACCAAGACATTTTGGACAATTGTATGCTTCCAACTTTGTGGGAAAAGTTTGGGAAAGGCCCTTTTCTGTTCCAGCCAGGCTCTCTCGTCCAACATCAGCGTCTGACCTCACAAATGCTCCCCTGGATGAATAGGTGAAATTCCCACAGACACTCTACAAAATCAAAACATCTTTTAGATGAAAGAACATGACTCGCTGGTTTATCACACCATCACATCAGATTATCATTAAAAAAAAAGGTTTTATGATGGTGTTAGGTTTAAGACACAAGACATGATGTAGCATAAACTAGAAGGTAGCTAGGTAACATTAGCCAACTTTGTAATGCTGGTTAGGGACTAGCTCTGTTCTTCTAGCAAACGACTGTAGCTAGCAAGTTTAGCTAGTTACTAAACAAGTCACTTACTTTAGTAAAACAGGCTATATAGATGTTAACAGGAAAATATACTCACTGGCCACGTAAGTACACCTACCTTGTATCTACACTCATTGTGCATTTTATTAGGTCCATTTACCATATAGAATCACTCTGTAGCTCTACATTTGTAAACTGTAGTTCATCCAAATATCCGCCACCCAAATAACACCTGCTCAGTGAAGGTTCTGTAAGGGTCCTAACTTTCGACTACAGGGTAAAGAAAGTCTAACATATTCTGCATAGAAAAAGATGGACGAGAATCTGTAATTGTAGAACTACAAGGTGCATCTATATAGTGAGTGGAGCTGATAAAGTGCACAATGAGTGTGGATACAAGTGACCAGTGAATGTATATCACCATGCAGTTGTTGTATGGACTGCATAAAGACTAACAAAATGATTGAGAGTCAGAGAGAGAAGGAGAGAGAGAGAGAGAGAGAGAGAGAAAGAGAGAGAGAGAGAGTAGATTGTGAAGTGGAAGAGTGTAACAGTGGAGTGGAGAAGAAGGAGCTAAACGGGCATTAAGAGCGTGATAGTGAGCAGAGAGAGAACACTTCAGCCTACAGGGAGCCTCTGAAGAGCACTTGAAAGCTAAGCACTGATGAGAGAGGGAATCTTACAGTGTGTGAGTTTGCGGACACACTGTGTGGATGTGGGAGGGGCTCTCTGTGTGTTGATAAATGTTAATGATGAGAAGAGAAGGGCCAGATGGAGAAAGGTCATGATATTTCTGAATAGAGATCCATAGATGGATCAGGAGCTGCTCTAATCACATTTGAGCTTTGGTTCTTTCACTCACACACACCTCGAAAGACTAGAGTTCTCTGATCCACTTGAATCTTTGTTTGCTGTTATTTACAACTACCTAGAACACTACCTAGCATAACCTACACGACCTATAAAATGGCAGTGTCCAAAATCCGGCCCCTGGCAATTCGTGCTGTTTAATCTGCTCTTCTCGTTTAATAAAGTGATGTGCTATTTGCTGAATGCTATTGCTGCATTTATTTGACATGTAAAGAACACGATCCAACCAAACTAATATATAAATATATAGATTTTTGTTTAGTTTGTCTCACAAGTTTTATTTTTTTGAACAAGTAAACACAAATATGATTACTTAATATATTAGCCATTTTTTATTGTTGTTCCTAAACAATTTATTTGTTATAAGCGCTTAACACTCCAAAGTGGTCTGAACAATCCGACAATAAAAGAAGCCTTGTGCACATTTTATGCAGTGTTAGGAAACACAGTATTCTATGCCACATTCTATGTGCTGATATTGTAAGAGACATAATATTTTGAATCATTTCTGAATAATATTTCAGCCTTAGGTATTTTGTTACCCTGGACCTCCACTATAAAGAGAAAAGGATACTTCAGGCAGCTCCAATTTCCAAGCATTGAGTATTCCTTGGAGTACAGTTAAATGAATCATAAAGAAATAGAGGGAGTATAGCACAGTCACAAATCTGCCAAGAACAGGCTGTCCACAAACATTGAGTGACACTAGTGAGGAAGGCCTCTAAGAGACTATATGTCAGTGGCTATTATGTTCAAAACCTCTTTATATCCAAAATTGTTACAAATACATATACAGTATTTTGGAATGAAACTCTTCATACTGTCACTGTCCGAACAAAACCTCATATCTCCAAAATGGAAACGTTACAGGAGAACATACCTTACTTTTAATGTAAGTCAACGTAGCCAGTCTTTTAGTCATTAGTCAGTCATTTTGGATAATTTCTTTTGGTATATTCATCATGAAATTCACCCACAACATAAAAGGCAACTTGCATGTTTAAATTATAATAAAAATAATAAGTTAAATTCATATCGTGGCATTTTCAAACCTGAGGTCGCTTTACAAAGACAAAAAGGTAGGTTTTAAGCTGAGCTTTGAAGGAGGAGGGTAAGGGACAGCCACGAAGAGATTGCAGTAATGTTGTCCAAAGTTTGGGGTCCATGATGCTGAAAGATCTGTTTCCAACAGTGACCAATCCAAATTTTGGGACAGCTAAACGACTTGTGTCAGAGGACCTTACTGTTCGGGCAGGACAGTATGGGTGCAGGAGCTCGGCTAAATAGGCTGGTGCTAGACCATGTAGAGTTTCATATGTGAGCAGGAAGAGTTTACATGAGCAGGACAGGTAACCAGTGCAACTGACATAGAATTGGGGTGATATGAGCTGATTTTTAGAGTGAGAAAGTATTCTAGACGCTGAGTTTTGTAAATACTGAAGAGGGCAGATAGTTTTGTAAGGGACACCAGTGAGAAGGGAATTACAGTAGTCTATGCGGATTATATGAAAGCATGGACCAGAGTTTCATTGTCTTTCATAAAGAGCAGAGGGGCATAGACAAGCAATATCATGGAGATGGAAAAACAGCTGTTTTGACCAAAGCCCTACTATAAGGTTCAAAAGAATGGACAGGATCAAAAAGTACATCTAAGTTATGGACTTCAGTCGAAGGTCACTGTCCAAGTGTCCAAGCAGCCCAGCACCCAGCAGTTTGTACACCTACAAATTCCATTGGCTATTAGGAAATGCCTTTTTCATCAGCTTAGATACATTTGCAGTTTCACTAACTTTTTCACCAGACAACAGAGATTACATCCACACTTACAAACAGCCTATGATGTGGATCAGATTCCTCTTTGCAGCTTATTAGCATGCCCCCAGAGGATGCATTAAATACATTTAAAGTGCCCACTCATGCTGCCATAACCAATATGCCCCCCTCACCAGAGCGCTCTAACAAATTATCCAGTAACACTGCCAGATTAAAGTGTTTCTTCACAGGGATACATGAGCTTTAACTTGAGGCCAGAGATGTCAGTGACCAGCTGCTGTGTTCTGACATGACTCCACTGCCACCCTTCAACTCTCTTCACTGCCTTTCATCCTAAGGGGAACCTGTCAGTGTCATTAGTACACACATTCAGTGACATTAGCCATTATACCTCTCACTGATAGAGATTGCTGAAATGGCCTTTTTGGACATGAGTGCAAAGGCCATTTAAAGCCTTAAGTCAGGGCTGTACAATGTGATAGTATTGTTGCATGTGAAATCATTTGGACAGACCTGGAAATTGTGTCGAATTCCTATGAACACCTTGCCACGCATCCAGCGGCTGCCTTGGTTACCAGTTATGGACCACATCTCATGTGTGACATTAGCAGACTTGATAAAAACCTACAATACCATAAAAAAGACAAGGCCAAAATTCACTTACATATCCTTAAGAATGATACAATAGATAGAAATGACAGAATAGGTTGGAATATGAAAGGACACAAAATAATATTTGATTAACTAATTTAATGAGGAGTCATTTCTGGATAAGTTCACCTGTAGTGTTCCCACAGTGAAGCCACTCATGTAGTACCAGAACTCCATGGTGCACTGGGGCCCAGTGGCAGTGATAAGCGGAGTCAAGAGATCAAAAGTGTGGCCATATCCTCCATTAGAGCTGTCCGCATACATATACCAACCTTCTACAGTGCCACTGCATGACACACACACACACACACACACACACACGCACAATAACATAATGGGATGTTGTAGACTGGTGTGGGCTTTTGGATGGGGTAGGGTGGAGTAGGGTGGTATAAGGTGGCTAGGGTTTAGTTTAGCTTGGGGTAGAGTGGCAAAGGCTAGGATGGGGTGGAGTAGGGTATGGTGGGCTTTATGATGGGATTGTTTAGGATGTGGTGGGCTTTAAGACAGGGTAAGGTAGTATGGGGTAGGGTGGAGTAGGGTTTTTTGAGGTGGAGTAAGGTGGCTGGGGTGGAGTAGAGTAGAGCAGGGAAGGGTGGAGTAGAGTAGGGTGGGGTGGGGTACAATGTGGTGGGGTGGGGTGCGGTGGGGTGATGTGGTATGGGATGGGGTGGAGTGATGTGGTATGGGATGGGGTGGGGTGCAACAGAATAGGGTTGGATGGATTAGGGTAATATGGGGTAGGGTGGCATAGGGTGGGGCGGGTCAAAAAAAAGAACTTAAAAACTAAAATAACACAATTATCTTTCTAATTATCAATTTCTAATTTGACATTTATCAACATACACAGCCACATAAATATGTTAGTGTTAATACACACGTCCATCCTCACTCACAGTGTATGGTCATTAGCAGGCCGATGAAATTGCTCTCCGTAGTGCATAGTTTCCCCCTGTCCTGTTTGCCAGCGGAAAGTATGGAGTGGCACCGGAGGGGCAGGGCTTTCCAGATCCCACCCACATAAAACTCCACCCTCAAAATCACACTGCTCCATGACTAAAATTAAGAAAGAGAAAGAGAGAGAGCAATAAAGAGGGAGACTATGTGTGAGGGATAGGGAGATAAATGGATGGACAGATGGATTGGTGGCTGGATACAAAGATTAATAGTGAAAACACAAACATACCACAGTTCTTTTCATCAGAGCCATCAGAGCAGTCCAGTCTGAAATCACACACCTGACTCTGGCTTACACACTCTCCGTAAGCCCCGCACACAAACTGGCCCAACGGACAGCTGTGAGGGGTCGCTGGGGAAAGAGCAGGGGGAGGAGCTGCTGTGCTGGACTCCACCGATGGGAGTGTGCCTACACAGACACACAAACACACAAAAAAGTGTGGGAGGTGAGCAACCCAACTTTATAAAAGCAAACACACCAGAACTCATAGCACCATCAAGGGCTTCTATTCATTAATCATTATATGCTGTATTTTAATTAATTAATTTTCAAGCTTTAAATTTAAAGGTCCTGTATTTTACATTTTTGTTGCATATTATGTTTTTGCCATTTATGAATATAGAAAAGTCTAGGGACAACAACAGCTCAGTCACAAAGCTACAAGGCAAAAGGCTGCTAAATGCTGAAGCACATAGAGCGTAAAAATCACTTCTGTTGCATTATTCAATACAGAGTTCCAAACTGTCAACATCAGCCCAGAACTGTGCCATGGGAGTTTTAAGAAATTTGTTTCCATACCTGAGCAGCTGCACACAACCCTAATATCACATGTGCAATGCCAAGTGTCAGCTGGAGTGGTGTTCTCTAGCGTGATGAATCATTCTTTATTATCTGGCAGTCTAATGGATGAACCTAGGTTTGGTGGATGCCAGGAGAACACTACCTACCAGAATGCATGGTGCCAACAGTAAAGTTTGCTGGAGGAGGGATAATGGTCTGGGGCTGTTTTTCAGGGTTTGGACTTGTGCCTTAGTTCTAGTGAAGGATAATGCTACAGCATACAAAGACATTTTAGATTTTAGACAATTGTATAATTCCAACTTGAGGAAGGCCCTTTCCTGTTCCCTGTGCGCAAAGCGAGGTCTATAAATACATGGTTTGATAAGTTTGGTGTGGAGAAACTCCAGTGACTTGCACAGAGCCCTGACCTCAACCTCAGTTAACAACTTTGGGATGAATTAGAACATCAATTGAAAGTCAGGGCTTCTCATCCAACATCAATACCTGACCTCACAAATGCTCTTTTGACCGAATGGGCACAAATTCCCCAGACACACTCCAATATCTAGTGGAAAGCCCTCTCAGAAGAGCAAAGCTATAGCTAAAAAGGGGGGCCAACTCCATATTAATGCCCATGGAATTTTGGAATGGAATGCCCAACAAGCTCGTAGAGGTATGATGGTCAGGTATCCACATACTTTCGATCATATTCTACATATAAATGACCTCTGTTCTGATTGTCTGACCTGTACTGTGCCTCATTCAAAAAGAAAGTCAGGGAACAGCAGGAACAGGACAATCTATTCTTCCAACATCTCCACCTCAGTAACAGACTGTCTGGAATAACAACACTCCTTATCACCTCAAAGGGTGAATGGGTGAAGCTAAACTGCTGCAGACTGAATGAATGGTCATACGAAAACAGTTGTGACATCAAAACCATGATGAATTTCAAAAGGGCTCCATTTTTTATTTCACAAAAGCATGGAAAATTTGGTTTCTTATGATATGGGCTCTTTCAGTTTTTTCAGTGTATCACGCTTACCTTCATATGGCTCACAGCCCAAGAAGGACAGGTCATCGATGGCAATATCTCCCATAAAGTCATCTCCTACTGTGCCCTCCACTAGAATCTGAGAGTGAGAGAGAGACAGAGAAAAAAAAAAGCAGAGGCAGAGAGATTGGGGTGAAAAGAGAGCAAAATCACAGGAGAAAACCCCCTTAAATCACTCAACTAGGGGTTTTCAAGGTGCCATGGCTGCATTTTCAGCATGTGTTTGTGTGTGGGTCTGTGTGTCTATGTGTGTGTATGTGTGTGTGGATGTGTGTGTGCACACTTAATGAACTACCGGTGAAAGTTTTACAGCTCTGGGGTAGAGGGCTCAATATTGCTGATAGCAGACATCACCAAGGTTACAGTGCTTTAGAGAACATCTGATTACAGTTATCAGCCGAATGACAGGGCTCAGAGTGTGTGTGTGTGTGTGTGTGTGTGTGTGTGTGTGTGTGTGCCACTGTATCTTGCTAATAAGATGTTGTCTACTGAAGGCAGTGAAACAAATCTACACAAGCTATAATAAAGCCCTGAAGAATAGTGTGTGCCTTAGAGACAAGAATTCCAGCCTTTTCCCATGCTGGGCATTCTCTGTTGTTTTGAAATCAAGAATTAGCAAAAACAAAATAACAAAGTGAGGGACAAGTTTTTCTTTTCTTTAACATCATGGAAAATCCATCACATTAAGTGTATAAACACTCTGTAGGGCTGCTATCAGGCAACATTGGTGAACAGCTGAACTGAGTCCCAGGTCGTAAATAACACACCTGTATTTAATTAGCACTTTTTAGTAGTGTACTTAGTTTGAGAGACATTTGGTGTCTTGACCCTAGCATACTGAAAAGATACAATGATAATAAGGTTAAATTGAGCTATAAGGTTTCAGCGCTTTTGCACAGTTCCCATTTTAGTGCATGGAAACCCTAGTTCTAATCTGACCAACTCAGCAAAAAGGACCTATCAAACTAACAGGCTGCTCTCCCACATACACATTTAAGCTTAATATGAGAGTAAAATTTTACAGAAAAATTCACTGTAAAACAAAGTGAAAAAGGATGGAAGTGTAGATGGCTTTCATCTCGTACTGGGCACCCATATCATGCTGATATCAGCAAAAAATGCAGGAGTGGGTGTTGGAGTGAAAAAGAATTAACCCAATTCAATACTGTAACAAATCTGTCCTGAAATAGCACAGATTCATACTGTGTGATGTGATGTTGTTAGCTGTGTATTTCTTCCTGTGTGAAAGTAGAGTGGTTTGAGTAGTTCCAGTATGATGGCCTATTTTCACATAACCATCTTAAATGAAGTGTCAATTAAAATACTCCTTTCTTCCTGTGTTTTTATCCACACAAAACTCAACTCTACCAGTGTAAACGTCCTTAAGACGATTGTACAATACAAAAGACACTTTTGTGCAAAAGTGGAAGTTTGGAATTGAGCATGTCACCTGGAATGGTCGTGCACTGTTGAGGTACAGCGTCTTTCTGTGCCAAAGGTTGCCCTGTTCGCCATAGCGAACCCACAGCATCTGGCCCCGCCCCCCACTCTTGGTGCGGAGGTAGACGGCAAGCCGGAAAACGTGTCTGCCCAGCATGTGGTAGTGGAAGCGGAAGACACACGGAGGCCCAGCGTCATGATCTCCGAGGGCAGTGGGCTGGAAGGGTCGGCTGATGAGGACAGCCGTGTCTTTAAACTCTTGAGGAGCGGAGGACTCGATGTACAGGTAATGTCCGTTCACACTGCCCAACGTGTGGTCCTTATAGGGGCCTGTTTTGGGAGAGGGCGTGGGGCCCTGGATGAGGCTCCAGTCAAAGATGTCTCCTCCTTCATCCTGAGTCCAGCTACATAATCCTTCTTCAAAATCGCACATCAGCTCTGAGGCTGGTATGAGAGACAGAGTGAGAGTGATTACATGAAGTTCAAGAACAATCAAAATTGCATGCAACACATTCAGTTACTCTACTAGTTAGCCAATTTAGCAGCTTGTTCTGTTAGATATACTGTAATGTTCTCACTATATATAAGTCATCCATGAGGTGTAATTCACATATTTGCAGTTTTTTTTTAATCATCTTCATATATGATAAAAGATCATAGTCTTTTAAACATCTATCAGGTTTTACTATATATTTGAGTTATTGAGCTGTTAAACCTTTGACAATAAGTGTTTAAGTAGCTGTTATGGATATATAGCCCACTCATCCTGTCCTAGAAGCTTTGTAAGTTCATTGAGAATTGCGTCTCCTCTGTTGTGATAACTTTTATTCACTGGACCTCAAATAAATCTGAGCTCTGTAAAAAATTGCTTATGGCTCCAAGAAACTCATGTTTGTTGTCATCACTCAGGAACCTAATAAAAATAAAAACTACCAACCCATTTATTAAGTAATCAGGAAGACCAACCACCCATTAATAATCTTTTGTTTTATATTCTTTTCCACTGATCTGGTAAAATCTTTTGAAAGTATGTCATGCGGCGTGATCACGTGATTCGTTATTTGGATTGGCTGTTTCATGAAGTTGAGATGCTTGCAACTGTTGCAATTTAGTTTCATGTGGATTTCAAGCAACTAAAGTTGCATGAAAGTTTTATCGTGTAACACCAGCCTTAATGTCTGTTTAAAGCAAATTAAAGCAAAAAATTAAACATGCACAACTTCTGTCTATTTTTATAGATAACAGTGTGGCAAACTGAGTCAGTAAGATCATAAACAAGTCTATTTAACAAGCCATAAACAAGAAAATGTCACATAGTTTGTGGTATGTAGGCATGCAGTTTGCAATATGCTAATTGTTGGGCTAGGAGTTTGCATTGCTCGTTAGCTACATTTGCCACTAAAACATACCTTCTGTTTTACTGGTTTAAAATGTCACAACCTGTTTTTGTTTTAATATGTCACGTTCTCTCGACTACTGAAATCCAGATCACGTTTCCATTATTCTGCAGCTGAATTTAATGATCTACAACTCAGATTTATAGAAATCTTACTGGGCTGTCAAATATATTTCTGTCTTTATTAGTCAATAACAGTCATTATAGAGTTTTGCTATGACAGCCAAGCACTTTTGAGAAGCATTTCAAAATTTCAAAACAGAATATTGATATGCAGTCATGTTGCACATGTTCATATTCACAGCTTGGTGCATTTTGAGCAGGGGGTTGCAATTATGGAGCTATAATAAAAGCTGTGAAAATTTTGACATGTTTTCATGCAGGTTCTACTAAAGGAAATGAGGTGAGTCAAGGGCCCCACGCATAAAGTTTACAGAAGCCCCAAAAATTCCTACTGGCACCCCTGTCTGTTGTTAACATGTTTGCTCACCTCCCAGTGGTGCCACAATAGATTCTAGAGTGAGATTTGCTTGATTAAAAACTAGGATGCTGATGAGGGTGGGAGGAACTGGAGGGCAGATAGATGAGAGCAGATTGTTTGAATTTTTCCCAGCCGGCTAATGCAGAAGGAAGCCAGATAGCTAACATTACATATCATGTCTGTATTACCATCTACATCAGTGGATTTTTATTACCATGGGGGGAATTTGCTATGGTTGTATGACATATTTGCATAATGCATGCTGGGTATTGTGGTGAGAAACAATGAAAATGCAAAAAGGATTTTAGTTTTAGGCCAAAATGCCCCTTTAAGATATCAAGCCAACACAGAAATCCTGCTTTGTGAAATACTCCTGAAAATCCCAAGTAAAAAAAATAAAACATTTCCATTTTACTTCCTCCCTGATTATACCAGCGTCCTTGCCTCTGTCTGGGTCAACATGTGTCACAGCTCTATTAGAATGAAGACTTACAGCAGTTTTCTTCATCCGTTCCATCTCCACAGTCATCCACAAGGTCGCAGACCTGGAGGCGCTCCACACACGCTCGGCTGCGCTTACAGTGGAAGTGGTCAGGAGAGGGACACTCGTCCATAGCTGCTGGCAGCGAGCAGTTATGAAAAGTAATGTCATCCAGGGCTGAGATGCCATCGTACACACCCAGACTCAACTTGGACACCGATATCTGGAAGGGACTGGTCTGCCGGCCAATCTGCACTGTCACTGGCAGCCAGAGGTTTCCTTGGTGATAGAATGTCTGCCACAGGACAGTGCGGTTGTCTGTGCTCTCAACTCGGAGATTCATGCTGGTAGTACCAACAGACAGACCAGCGTTGTAATGCCTATAGACAAAAAGTCAGTTTTAACTTATATTTTAACCTATTTAAACTTGGCCTGTATGTGGGCCCAACTGACCAATTCATGTTCATTCCCAGATGCATTCTTATTTTATAGCAACTGTTGCCAGGTTGGACAAGCTTTACAGAATGCCAATAAAAATCTGAATCTGTTGACACACTGTAGTGCACAATTCAAATACGTGAATTATTCATGTCAAGCTGCTACAATTTGTTTTCTGTTCACTACATAACACTGAGTTTGAGATGTTACACTAATGAGCTGGACTACAGTTGTGTGTAAAAGTTTGGACACCCCTCAAATTACACATATTGTTTATTTTTTAAATAAAAAGAAGTGAACAGCACCTCTACATGGAACAAACTTGAATATGACATATTTCTGCAAACATTAATGGACAATTATTTATTTGCTGAGTTTAACAGATCGGAAAAAATAATTATGAAGCACTGGAAACTGTCGACACCTGACTTGGATTAAGGCTTAATGAGTCAAATAAACACTAAAACCTTGAAAATAAAAACACTGAAAGGGTGTCCAAATGTATGCAAAGGTCACATTTAAATTATTTTTTTTCAACAGCAAATAAATAATAATTGTACATTAAAAATGGAAGAAAAAAGAAAAAAAAAAATCACAGCAACTTTTGTCCCAATGCTAAAGTTAGCTTGATTACCAAAAAGTTGCATCCAGTCTAAAAGTGTGACAAAATGAACATCTTAAATTAACACATTCTAAATGATGGTCACTGGTGATCACTGGTGACTTCCTGATAAATAAAGATAATACTTGGCCTCGAATTAGTAAGGCATGGGAACAAGATAATTAAGTTGTGGTCACGACTTAGTAAGGTGTGGGAATAAAATCCTAATGCATGGCCATGACTTAGCAAAGCATGATCTCGTTCCCATGCCTTATTAAGCCGTGGCAACGACTTAATTATCTCATTCCCATGCCTAACTAGGTCAAGGCCACACATTAGGATCTCATTCCTACACCTTACTAAGTCATGACCACGCATTAGGATCTCATACCCATGACTTACTAACTAGTGGCCACACATTATTTTCATTTATACAGGATGTCACCATCAGGGCCCCAGAGTATTTTGACCAAGTTGAGTTGTGCGCTGCGATGTCTCATTAGGTTGAATGGGATTTTTCCAATTGTCTTGTAAAGCCAGTGCAACTTTGCAACAATATGCAGCTGAGCATGTATAAGTGAGTTTCTCACTCTCATAACTTCATAACAACCATAATAGTGTCATAGTGGTTACTGTATCATTTACAGTAGTTAATTAATCTGCAGTTTAAGAGGTTAATATTCATTTATAAAAATTAGCTAAGAGATAGGATAAAAAAACTTATCAAAGCCCCCCTTTGTTTACCAGAAGGTCATGGTACAGTTGGAGCCTGATTGCTGGAATGTGGGGCTACGAAGTAAAGCGCGCTGAGAAAAACTGCTGCTGTACCTCAGGACAAACATAAAATGGCCTGCAAGACAGACAGTACATCAATGTCAGTGCCAAGCTTTACCAGATGCTGGAGAAATGTAAGAGCAGCTAGGTACATAAAAGAGTGAAAAAATGAAGGAACCGTTAATAGACAAGACAGGCAAGACCACAGATTTACAATCTCTTTAAACTAAATATATCAGTGCAGAGAGGATGTGAATAAAACACTTTAGGACAAGGATGGGTAAATTCAGCATTTTATCTGCTGTATAAACAGTCTTAATGTTTTATTGTCCTTGTAGTGGGATATTCAAACCTGAGTTTCTGGGTCAGAAATTGCACATAGCAATGCCATAACCTCCTTTCACTGCAGGGCCTCAGGGGAGCTACTCTAAAGAGAAATTCCAAAAGTAGTCCACAGCCCTGAGTAAAACCAGGGGCAGTCTCTGTGTCATATTGGAAGACAGTGAAGTAAAGCTGGATGTGCCAAATATGTGGACAGAACAGCTGCTGCATAAGGCAAAAAAACTAAATCTAATGCAAATGGGAATTGACCTTTGAGTCACACACTGCTAAAGCCACACTGGAGCAGTGAAAGATTATAGTCCAGATTAGCCTGAGAACATGTGGAGTGGCCAGATCTCCACAGTCTTCCAGCACTCATTTCATAGATCAAAGGGGTTTATGGCAGTTGTGCAGCCTTGTCTGAATTTGTGCTTATACTGTGACTAACCATTAGCAAGACTAGCCTAGCCAGCACCTGTACTGCAAAGTATGAAAAAAAGGTTAATATGCATTTTCAGGATAACATATAGCACATTGGGCATGTTTACACCTGTTGCATCAAAATGTTTTTTTTTTTTTTGGTAATCGGATCACGTTCAGGTTTCACTTCACCACATGAAAAGCCAGGTGTAAACACTGCCAGGATGCATTAGAAGCAGACTACAATCAGATGTCTCAAACCACATTCGGAGGTGATCAGAGACAGATTTTGATATTTAACACAAGTATAAATGGAATGTGTTTTCATTATCTGTACACAGTCACATGAGCAGAAATGTGTCTGCTGAGCGCTGACTAGCAGGTGATAGGATAAACAATGAAATGAAACATGGAGGATATGCAAGACTAAAGTTAGTCCCCAGAAAACCTTCATGTGTTCCAAGCCTATGAAAGCACTCAGTGGGCTTTTGCGCTCACACAAACAAAGCACAAACAAAGTGAGTAAATTAATAAAACAAAGAAAGATGTCAAAGCGAAAATAAGTACACAACTTTAAAATGTAAACATAACATGGGGCATGTACAAAAATAGCACATTATATATGCTATAATTTATTTTTTCCCAATATGTTAAATTCAGCAAATAAATAGAAATTGTGCTCTGCAATCGGCAGAAATTTCAGTACTTAAGTTTACCATGAATGACTGTACCATGAAGCAGAAGTATATTTGTTCTCTGTGATTTTTGATGAGTTTTTGATGATTTTATTTGGTAATGGTAATGGCTTCATTCAGATCTTTACCATTGTGTGTTTGGTTTAGAAAATGGGTAACATTCCATTCCCCCTCCAAGCTCTTGGCATTTCAGTATCTGATTTATAGTGCACCACACAACTCTGTGGCATAGTGTAAATTTATAAAATCTTGCAAGGGGAGCATCAGCCTAGTTACCATTGCTGAGCTATGATTGGACAATTGGTATTTAGGAGAGGGGTTTAATCAGGGCTTCACCTAATAGAACAATTTAAGCATTTCTGACTGGCCCAGATAGGCCAGTGTCCAGGAGCTTCTGACTGCCAGGGGCCTCGGGGGCCTCAGACCACAAAGCCAGAGGGTCTCAAAGACTGGGTACAGGCCACCACAGATGCAAAAGATGTGACTACAGAGTGGCGCACAACTTCAAAGGTCTATAGCAATCAGGATGCTTTGACCAAGTTTCTAGATGTATTTTTTTATAATAATTAAAAGACTTAAATATTTCTTTCTGTTTTATTTTTCATTTATATATGTGGGTTGTGCTACTCACCACTGCTGCTGTTGGTAGAGTGGTCATTGGGAGGTGCCTGATGTTGGACGTTTGCGGGGACTTCCACAGGTGAGCTTCTGGTCCAGTCAAAATCATCTCTTGGAGCGAACTCCTGCCAACCACATGAGTCCGTCTCAAAGTCACACTGTGCAGCTGCAGAACACACATACGCCATTGTCAGAAAACCTCGCATCTCCAACATGGTAACTTTGTAAGAGAAGGAAAAACATTCTTAACATTCTAAACATTCACATCTATTCAGTGCAGCCTCTGCCCTCAGTTATGGTTATAATGGACTACTCCATGTTGTTATGTGATGACAGGCAAACAGTAAACATGTAAACATGTGTAAGTACACCCTTTGAATAAGCTTCCAATGACACATAAATGACCGATCATCATTAAATATTTATACAATGTAAAGTGCACCTCTTATTGTCAAATACTGTGAAAATTAAAAAAAAAAAAATTAAAAAGAAAATATGAAAATGCAGAAACTATCTGAGTAATAATGCTGATCCAGGACCCAGCTGACAGCTGAAGTCATCCCTGTGGTTTTATATTATTCCAGAGATTCATTCTCTTCCTGTCTTTCTGTCATGGTCAGTATACATTTTCATTCTCATCATGTTCTGGATGTGGCATTATTATAGATTAGCAGATAAGAGCTCACTTCTCAAAGTTGCTGCCTTTAGGCCTGTACAAGTGTCACACCATAGCACACAATACTCACGACAGTCAGCCTCATCTTCTCCATGTGGGCAGTCCAGAGTGAAGTCACACACTTTCTCTGCATCCACACACACTCCTGCCCCACAGTCAAACTGAGAAGGACGTAAAGAGGGGGGAAACATTCCCACTGTAATCAGAAAAGGATAAAAATAACCAAATTATCTCTTTTAAAGTGTTTTTACCATTAATGGAATAGTTTGATGAAAAATCATGTTCGGACATTTTTCCCCACCAATTTTAATCCAGGTGGAACCATGTTTGGTTTTGAAGTTTACTTTGTCAGTTATGTGCTGGAGCCACAAGGTTAATGTGGCTAACAAGTAATGGAAGCTTTTGTGCACTAATTAGCATTGTGTATTCTGCATGCACATACTGCGTTGAGTTTTTAAAGTCAAGGTTAATTGGAAATCGTTCCAAATTACGTTGTCAAGCATTTCTGGGTGAAACATGTTATCAAAGACGGTCTCTGATCTAAGCATTTTCTCTCAGTAACAGGTGGGTGTGGTAGGAGGGGGAGATGAAACACGATATAATTAATATTAACAATATTTTAGCCTCCCACTACTGGCTTGTGCTGCCGTGGGAGCACAGGAGGTGTGGCCATGCAGAGTGGCTGTTGGGATGCGTTGCGTTAATGATGGGAGAGACATTTATTGTTAGTCTAAAGTTTGTCTGTGTGTTGCTTGTGCTTTACTGTGTTGGGTTGTGAGGTAGTAGTGTAGTGTAGCGCCTACCGCCAAGTAGCGTTGTGTGGTTAGAACTGACCTGCCTGTTTTCTCAGCCATTAAGTAGCATTTGCGTTTAAAGTGCAATATTTCCCACTTCTTCTTCTTTGCTGACACCAAAATATCCTGTTTAATATTAATAGTGTTCATTAATATTATTTTGGCTGTGATTTATATTATATTTCATAATTTTCTTTAAATTAAGGCTGCAATATTGAGCTGGCATTTCTTAATGATCTACAGTATTACATCAGAGAGCCTTGTGTCCTCATGTTGAGAAGATAAGCCAAAGTATTTCAGGTATCTGAATTACTTTTGATTAGTGTACTTTACATGCACTTCAGAGATGGAATAAGAACTCAGTTCAGTGCTTACCCAGCTAGAGATACAGAGTGAACCAGCTAGTTTACTTACTATTTAACACCAGAGTCAAGTTAATGCTAACATGTTAACTTAGATTAGCTAGCTGTTATTAAAAGGGAATGGCATTATTTTTCAAAATGTCCACATAACTAAATAATTAAGATATTAAAAAGTAATTAAGAGTGGTTTGAACTGTTTCACAACAAAAGTTTGATTAGCAGTTTCACTTAAAGACGCTGCTCTGCATAGCAGTCACAGTACAAACTATAGCTCCATTATATAGATTGCACTCCTGTGAGAGTGCCAATAAACATCAAGGCCAGTTTCATATTTCACTCTACTCATATAAATTTAATATAATAAAACGTTCAACATCATTTGGGAATTCACCTCATTTGGTATCAGCTAACTAACTTCTCAAATACTTTGTCTACATGAAGTTTAGTTGTCTAAGCTAAAAGATACGAAATTAAAAGACTAGGCTATTAACGCTAGCTGAAGTGATTATAAGCGTTTGTCTGTTTATCTTAAATCACTGCTGTTCAGAGTTGTTCAGAGCCACTGTATGCACTTTCATGAAAAACTGTGGTTTTAGGGTCTCCCAAGTGGCATAGCTGTCTAAGTGTTGGCCTATGATCAAGACATCAGGAGTTTTATTCTCAGTGATGCCACAGCCATCCATGGCCCAGAGAGCACAACTGGCCTCGCTGTCTCCAGATGAGTCCAATGCTGAATAGTGTCTGAAGAGCATCTGTTAGCTGGTGTAACAGATTAGCGTTAGCGTTCTCTCCCAAGTGTGTTGACCTGTTAGCATGACTTTGCATTAGCAGCAGTTTGAAAAGACGCAGTGGCACTTCATGTGTCTCAGCGGAGGCATGTGCAAGCTTTTCACACGCCCAGCTTTGGAGACCTAGCTAGCAGGCAGAATTAGCATTGACTAAATTGGTCACAGTCTTTAAACTCAAACCCAGACCCATTTCTTTGTATAGCACTTAGGTAAGCACTAACCTAAGTACTTACTGAAATGCATTGCACTTATGCTATGTTTAATTCTGTATTTTTCTTTCTAGGTATCAGCACTGGCATTTATTTCTGGCAACATCTTAGCTCAAGGGCAGTTTGGACCTAGGATACATTCTCTTAGTGGTCAACAAAACACTTTTCTGAGTCGCTGTGGACAAGAGTGTCGGCTAAATGCCGAAATGTAAATGTAAATTGGGGGGAAAAGTTATATTTTTGGATGCTGCACAGTACGATGCAGTACATGGTGACCTTAACCCTTAGCTGATGTTCATGTCAATCCAGTGAGCTTTCCGTCAGATGTTGAACTTGAAATGACAGTGTAATTATGCACATGGCTGCTACAGAGTGCTAGTGATGTTAACTGGTGATGTGCTGGATTAAGAACCCATTGAACCACATGAAGAAATACATTTATTCATTTAAACTGCAGCTTAGTATGATGGGCTAACCTACTAGTCTAGCCGTTGGCATTAAAAAGTCCACCGCTAAGACAGACTCTGTGCTACAGTTGCTAGAAGTGATGGGGACCAAATATGGTAGAAATGCTGGAGACATGTCCCCATCATTCCCATCTAAATGACCTATGGTGTCAGGCCATTAGTGTGCACACACTATATGCTCTGTTTAAAACATGCTTTGAAAATGTGTCATGAACCACATAAGCAGGTCTCTTTTAGAGCTGTTTGAGGGGAGTGATGGATGATATATGTTTGCGGTTTGCATGACGCTAGAGGGTAATTGTGTTGGTAATTGTGTAATTAGATTTTTCCTATAAGAAACTTCTTTGGATGGTTTGTAATTTGGTGAAAGAAACTGACTGAGCTCTACTACATGGTGAAGCACTTGATAAAAGAGGCCATATACAGGACAGTATGAAATATCAGAATTATATTTCATTTCTATTATTAGATAGCACTGGTGAAATGGTCCTGACTGCAGGGGAGCTGTCTATTACTGATACCATTTTTATTGGAGACTTGAGAAAAATGTAATAACTCAGGGAGCTGTCTTATGAGTGCAATAATTATAATTCCTTCCTCTGTCATGATTGTGACCAAGTAATCATGATACACATGAATCATCCGTTTATTAAAGAAGTAATCAAATATCGGTGGCCCAGTTTAATGTCTGGAGAGCAAACTGATATTAAACTGTGGAAAATGTGCTGACTCCATGTTTCTTGCAGACCTAGATGTGTATCTTAGATGACTGTTACAGTAGTTAGCATCATGACTGGAAGATGTGGTACTGTTATTTATACAGAGGGCTGTAAAAGGATCTGAACTTCATGGGAGGATATATTTCTTTGTGTCTGTCTGTAGGAAGAAGTGAGCCATAAACCACGTTTAGAATAAAAATGACAACGTGCAATAACAGAGACAGATTAAAAATGTCATTCATCTTCCATCCCCCCCTCTCTCTCTCTCTCTTTCATTTGCATCCAGACTAACAGACACACACCATTTCCAAGATGAAAAATGTCACTCACGCCCCCTCTCTTTTTTCTTAGTACCCTGCAGCAACATTTTAACAAGCTACCATCTTAAACTTACACGCTCAGGCTACAGTATATTATCCCATTCTGCCCAAAGCGGATTATAGGCCAGCTCGACCAATCTAGATCTGCCCAACGAAAAAAAATCTTCAAACAACTGCATTCGCAGCATATTAAAACATGTCTCTGGCCAGAAAATTGTTGAAACATGTACTTTGGTGAATGTTTTTGTACTTTATTGAAAATGTTATTTTGGTGTGTTTGTTCAGATTTTTCCTTTATTTTTCATTGGTCCATGTGTATATAAATATATAGACATAAGCCAGGTAAGCCTGCAGTTATACATATAAATTTGTATTTACAACTGTAGTTATATATATCAACTGGTAATTAAGACTGTGGTTATACATATAAATTAGTAGTTAGGACTGTGGTAATACATATAAATTAGTAGTTAAGACTGTGGTTATAGATGAAAATTAGCACTTAAAACTGTGGTTATAGATGAAAATTAGCACTTAAAACTGTGGTTATAGATGAAAATTAGTAGTTAAAACTGTGGTTATAGGTGTGAATGAGCTGTTAAGACTGGGGTTATACATATAAATTAGAAGTTAAGACTGTGGTTATACATATAAATTAGTAGTTAAGACTGATTATACATATGAATTAGTAGCTAAGACGGGTTATACATATAAATTAGCAGTTAGACTGCAGTTATACGTGTAAATTAGTAGCTAAGACTGTAGTTATAGATAGAAAATTGGTAGTTAAGACTTTGGTTATACATATAAAAAATATAAATATATATATAAATATATAATATTTGTTCTTTTTCATGACATTTGATCACACACTCATAACTTGACCTCAGGAACCAAAAGCTAACAAAAGATGCATTTCTAAAAATATATATATTTTCTAATAAATGCTGTATTTAAAAGCATTTTCTCCCTGACAACCAGCCAAAATTCCCTGGAATTGCAATGTAAAAGTCAACATTGTGAAGGGAGCCTGTAAAATAGAGGGTGCACTATGAAGTTTGATTTGTATGTTTGGTAGAATCATGTAATTTGATGGTTGACCAAGCATTACTGGGGAACCAAATATCTTTCAGAGAGAGGAGAGAGAGAGGGAGGGTGTGCATTCATTTAACATTTGTCTAGGTATAGTGAATGTGTATGTGTGTGTGTGTGTGTGTGTGTGCATGTACCTGAACTCAGCACACAGCCTTGGCTGAAGGACAGATCATCAAAGGCAATAACGGCAGTAGAACTGCTGCTGTCAAAGATCAGTCCAAGAATCACAACCTGTAGAGTCATTATATTTGAAATATTCATATTAATTTGTGAGTTGACATTTTGCTAGATACACAACTTTCTGTTTAATTTTATCAGAAACATCTGCCATATAGATGCACTTTGTGGGTTTACAATTACTGACTGTAGCCCAACAGTTGCTGCATAATAAATCCCCCCCTCCACTTTATCCATCAATGGAAAGGGATCACCATGTGACCAATGCTGACTTGTTATTATTTGGGTTGTGGACAGTGTTGGAGGTAATGCACCACAAAGTAACATGTCATACATACTTAAAAATGATGGTTATTCAAGAGTTCTTCAGTAAAGAAAATGATTCTATATATAACAATGAACACTCAAAGAACCCTTTGCATGATTGAAAGGTTCTTTGCATTGTAAAAGGGTTATTCAGACTGATGGAGAATGTGCTGTAGATGTTTCAGTACAGAACCTTTTTGAAGGTTCTATCTAGCACCAAAAAGGGTTCTTCTATTTTTGCAAGCAAAAAGAATAAGAATAAGAAAGGTCCACTATGTAGTGGTGCTATGGTGGTCCCTTTCCATTGATGGAGGGGGTAGAGGGTGACTGATCAACAGTAATTGTAAACATACAAAGTGCATCTATGTGGTTGGTGTTTCAGTAATGCTTTGCTTGAATTCTGCTACATATTCCTGACATAAACATGCCTTAAAAATATCATGAAAGATTTCATATGTTGTCATGAGCTATCATAACAGATTGTGACTAGTTTTATAACGGTCTATATAACGGTCTTTATAACTAGTTTTATTACCATCAATGGTCATGACATATTATAATTTTTGATGTCATGACAGCTAGTACACTCAGCAAAAATGAACATGTGACATATGCTCTCATAACATCAAACACTATGGCATCTGTCATGACAGCATATGGCATGTTTATGGCATAGTTATGTCAGTGTTATGTAGCAAGGTTCAAGTAAATTGTTACCAGGGTTTTAATACAAGGACACAAAGTACCACTGACACAACACACTAAAAGCTATGTAAAATGATAACAATAGTGCCCCCTTGTGGTCAATCTTCAGCCTGCTAAACCTGGGTGAGTCGCAAGCCAGGTCCCTGAAGTGCTTTCCATCTAAAATATCCTATTGAGAATAGCTACAAGGTAAATGAGCCTCAGTAAAGACAAAAGAGTACACAATGTATATTACCGACACAAACAATGAAAAGACAAATGTTCAGACCCAATCAGTTATTGATCATGTACACAGAACTGCATTGGGTAACCATTTAAACATGTCCATCACTGTCTCTGTAAATAAGGCCCAAAAATGTAGGCCTCACAGCTCAAAGTCCACCAGTCAGTTTTTCCAGCAGTGCACTTTATGACTGTGAATGACTTATACAGGAACGATAAAGGCTGAATCTGTTTCATTTCATATCACCACTTCCAAACAAGCATGAGTTTCTAATAACATCAGATAAAAGCAATGCAGGCCCAAGTCTCTACCTCAGTAACAGCGGTATTTAAAGTGCTCTCTAGGAGCTGCAGCAGTAGCCCAACAACCAAGTGTATCATTTCCATAAGCACAAGGTTGCAGGTTTAATGCTTATGCCAAAGAAATTAGATGTACTGCATTATTCTGCCCTCATGTAAAGTGTGTCTCCAAACTGAACTAACGAAAAAGTTTGCGTTAGGGTTGGCAGAACATTTTACCATCAGGTAAAATTGTTCCACGATAATTCTTTATAATTACTTCTAATACTAGTATATTAATAAAAATGTCTTAATCAGGTTGAGGAGCCCTAAAAAAGCCAGACCTTGTGCACAGAATGCATTTGTGCCTGGAGCTTTAGCACTATATTTAGAGCTTGCATAGATAGCACATGACTGCATAGATAGCACATGTGTTTATAGAAATGGAGTGGTGAGTCATATTGGAATGGATGAGAGCAAAACCATGGGAAATGAAGGAGATGGGACAATCCGAAGAGCAGAAGGTGAAGTGGGAGAAGAAGATATGTGAAAGAGAATTGGACTGTGTCCATGCCTGCAAATTGACCATTGACTGAGCGAGGACCATCTGTGCTTGCTTTCTCTTCTTTCTTTCTCATTCATACTGCAAAAAGCACCCTTGTGGGCAATGTTTTGGGTAGCTTTTTACAACTTTTTACTTATTAAGTTTCAATTAAAAGCAATAGAAAAGAAATACAGCACCTTCCACCTGCTGCATACATTCATAAGTGCTATAACATGTAGAAGTGCATGAAAATAATGCACAGTGAAGTCAAATGATTTATGATATACAAAAGAAAATGGCACTCTTGAGTTACATGTGGTAACTATCCACAAAGCATAATGAAATTACAGTGTCTGTTTGACACCTTTTCTCATTAATATAAGCACACAAACACAAATATATACATACCTGAAACTCCTCACTGTGACTAAATGTGACTGATGATCTACTCCAGGAATATTTGGGTGGTTCAGAATTTGGTTTGGTCTCAATCCAGATTTGCGTCTGCTGTCCTGAAGGTATAGACTCAATCAAGACCTTCAGCTCCCCACCCAGCTGCCCAATATGATGGCAAAATGTCATCTGTGGAAGACAGGAAAAAGAAGTAGAGCAGTGACCATGCTGTAAACCATAAGCCTCAAGCCAATTCAGTTTGCTTAAGCATTGTAAATATGTTTCAAGACCATAGAACAAATGCATTTCTAGGCCAATGCACAAAACATCTCAGGATTTCCAAATGTGTCCCTCAAACTTTGCACAAAACTTCTAAGAACTCTCTTAAAATGCAGGCTGTGCACAGATAGACCCCAGCATAGAGCCCCTGACCTCAGACGGTATGAGCACCCTCTTGGTTGGAGTGTAAATTGACTGTATCTTATACTGCTTCTGGCATTGTTCATGATCTGCTTTAGTCAGATGAGGCTCAGCATCACCTCAGGAATGGAGCTTGGGGGTTGGCTTGAGTTCTGTGAGATTCCTCGCCTTTGGGCACTTTTTCTGGTGCAGTACTGACCACCTGTGGAGATTTCTCCAGCACTTCTGACCTGTCTCGCATCACCACAGTGCTAAGAATCTCACCAATAAAACACTAATAATCTTTTTTTTTTAAATCACATTCCATAATGTGGTTATTTTGAACAACAACCAACATAATGCTGGAAATAATGACTTAATAACTACACAAGTGTTCATTATTGTAAAAACAGGGATTTATACGAGACTGTGTGGAGCGCTGAAATGGAGTGTTATAATGGAAGTTTATATGGTCATTAAATAGTGTAGTGAGTGTGGGTGACCGGGGTTTAAATCCCTGCAGGTATAATGTTAGAGCTTTTGGCTTCCTTTGGTAAAACTCTTAATACTATGTTAGGTTTTAACTGAAACATGGTTGGACTGTCTATCTTGATAAAAGTAATATGCTGTCAATTAAATCAAACTGAATTCATGTTCATGTTGCCCCTTTTCCCCTTTTCCCATTAGGTCTCTGCCCCTTTAAAATGCCAGTGCACAGGCCTGCCAGAGTCTACTTTCCAAACCAGGAATTACTGACACTCTACAGGCCATATCTACAGACTTTCAAACAATATCAATGCTCTGGTTAAAACTTTTAGGGTCTGTTTCCATTCAGCGTGTTCCATTTAGTCCAGGACTATATTTAAGTAAACCCAGTATTTACATTGGTGATTTCCTCTACTGTGTCAATCAAAAAGAGTGACAACGAAACCAAGGCATGCGGGGAATTCTACATAAACAAACGGTTAAGATGTAAAACAAGTCATTCAGTGTGGTTTGATGTGAAATGCTCCGTTCTAGAGAAACTTACTGAGTTTTGAGAGACAGTTTTGGCCTCAAATGTATTTTTTAAAATGCACACACAGTAGAGAGGTACACGCAGGGTGCTATAAGGCAAAATATAACCCCCAAATATCTTTTTCTAGATGTACCACTATTTTACCATAATCAACATTAGATATGAAACTCCAAAGACATGTATAGGTTCACTGGTCATTTTGGATAGTAAATAAAATGGCTGTAAAGAAATCTGACTCTGTAAGGTTTTATAAAATGCTGCATTTTACATCAAACCACTCTGAATGACTCTGTTTACATTGTGACAATTGAGTTGTGCAGGAATGTCGAAAAATCTGTAGAATTCACCTTTTTTAGAAAAGTCTCAAGAGCTTGAGACCAATTAGAGACGACAATGTCAAAATAAGGTAATAAAAATTCAGAGAAGAGAAAATGAATTAGCTTGCTTCAAACATATGCAAAATGTTTATAGAAGTGAAATAAATCAAAACAATATTGTCTTTCATTTTACTCACTGTGGGCAATAACTTTATTGATGTAATATATGAGGAATTATGTGGAAATGATGTATATTTGAATCAAGTATTGAATCAATGCAACATTTTTTTCAGTGCATTTAGTCATACATTAAAAAAAAATCCATTATCTGAATAGCACAAAGTGGCTGCATTAGAACAGAATGATTCACATTACCCTGCAGGATTCTGTAGGCTGAAATGATGGACTAGATATTGATGCAGTGACTATCTTTCCATTTTCAGAGTGCATGTACAGGAAGTGTCCTAAGTGGAGAAAAGAATGATTGACATATTAAATTCTATTATAGGCCATAAATGTGTCTATTATGCATTTCACATACTGCACGAAAAGTACATAAGTGCTCCAGTAAGAAAATATGTATATCTAAAATAGTAATTTACAATGCACATTACTGTAACAAGATTTTATTCATTTTCTTTTTCATTTTTCTTTTCTCAGAGTAACGTCTTTTCTCACTCTCAGCCTCGTCTCTGCAATGTGTCAAAGTGGGAATGCATTGAAAAAAGGACAGTGAACATTTATATTCATCATGAAATATGTACATAATGTAAAGGGTAGTCAGTGTTTTCAATTGATGTAAAAAAATGAAAAGTAGTTACAAGTTATGAGTTTTCAGTAACACCTACTACAAATCTTCTATTCACAATGCTTTAGAAAGGCATTTATGAGGAATTATATGACATGCGTAATACCTCATAATGCCTAGTATGGGCCTGTATAATAGCTTGTAAGTAGTTACTTGCATAACACTTTATAAAGCAAGAGGATATGGCTTCATGATGATATAAAGTAAACATGAATTTCGTAATTTACTATAACAAGATTCTGGTATATGAAGTGAACATGAATGTTCTAAAGCATTACAACAAGGTTCTGATACATTTTCTGTACAACATTCAGACTCATCACAACAGTTTTTTACCAACTTAGTCAAAATGAAGCAGCTCTTTGTGACACATACTTGAACTTGTTAAAGTGTTCATTTGATAGAGTATTTTAAGTTTAGAGTATTGTGTGTAGAGTCTAGGAACCTGCAGGATTGCTAGGATTAACTGAACAGATATATAATATGGAACCAATTATGGAACCTGACTTTATGAAGCCATATACTCGTGCTCAATAAAGTTCTATTCATGTAATTATAACTACTAAAGAGCAATTGAACAAGCTTATGATTGGCATCACCATGCTGTTAGAAACCATGCTGTGCTGGTACATTTTTCATTCATCAAGGTACGAACAATGTAAATATTCCCTCAAAGGTACAACAGTGGTTTTAAGGTCCAATTGTGTACCTGAAATATGATTTCTCACGTTAAAAGTACATATTTGTACATTTTCATAACCTAATGCCTTAAAACAGAACAATAAAATAAAGCCTGTAGTCAAACTGGGATGTATGGAGTCATGATGCATATGTTCAATAGATTTAAAGTCATTCATATGACATAAATAATTCCATTAAGCATGAATGGGTTTAATTGAATTGTTCATGGAAATGAAGTGCTGGAGTTTTGTGTGTAGAGTCTAGGTACCTGCAGGATTGCTGTTATGGTCTAAGGCAGGTCCAGGACCAGTCTCACATGAGCCTGGAGTCCAGATGTGATCTAAGGATCTTGCTTGAAGACCACAAAGTCCATCCTCAAAGTCACACCTCTCAAAATACGTACCTTTCCAAAAGTCAAACACACGAATTTCAGAATCAGAATTTTTATGAAACAAATACAGAGTATGATGTATTATTGCTGGATACGGTGTCAATGGTGTCAAAATAGATAGAAAAGATAGCAGTATCAGTTGCCAGAGGAGGAAAGTAATTGTATACTTTGGAGGATTTGTGCCTTATACAAGTATTATTGAAATTGAATAATAATACTTTTACTCAGTGACATTTCTAAGTAAAAAAAACATACTTTTTAATCAGTGTAGTTTCATTCAAGCCTTCAAAATATTTCATAACAAATCTCAATTGCCATTATGTTTTGTTTTTTTTTTCCTTTTTTCTCATGATAGATTTATCACATATTTATATAGATTATAGAAAAAAAAATCAACCAAATTCATATCACTGTATATAATGAAACTACCCACAACAATGTAAATTTGTCTTCAAGAAAATAAAACTTTTATTTATCTATATATACACTATATTTATATACACTTCCACTTCAAACTGAGTAACATTTTGACACACTACCTAAACTTTCACTTAAATACAGTGTCTCTACCTCTGACAGTTGCATCACATTTGTCTAAATATGACTAGTAGGACTAACTTTTTCTCTCTTTTACTGCTATTGAACAACCCTGGCTAATTCAAAAGGCAAAAGCATAGTCGCAAAATGCAAAGACAAAGCTTCCCTTCACTGGTTTGGACAAGCAAATTGTTTTCTCATTCTATAAAAACATGAATGTCATCAGTGCAAACAAACAGGCCTGCTCTCAGTGAAAATATCTCTCTTTGAATGGATGTTAACATCTATCAGCAAGACATCAAAAGAACTAATGCCTCATCTCTGCAATGTGCTAAAGTGGGAACACATTCAAAAACAGACAGCAAACCCTTTATCAGAAAGCTGTTTGGCATGTACCGCTGAGATCAAGCTGGAGTAAACATAATATCAACTATGTTTCATCTTCTAAAGGACACGGTTGGGATATATGCTACAGATGCATAAATGCATGAGGGTAATACTGTATGTCATCTCTAAGCTTGCCTGATGATGGCTGCTTTACGAGCACTATTCCTGTTCAGTGCCATAAGCTGCCCTGTTTACATATTAAAGCTCATTTAAAAGCATGTTGTCACCATTGAAACAGAACAGGAAGCTATTGACACTATGAATAAGGTACAAGTATATATGTCACACTCTAAAAGATCTCTGCACACAATCAGTATTTTAGATCAGAGGCCTTGCACTTGTAGATGCTTGCAATTGTACATAAAGTATGAGAAATCCATCCATCCATCATCTAAACCACTTATCTGTCTGGGTCACGGTGGGGTGCTGGAGCCTATCCCAGCTGTCATTGGGCGGAAGACAGGATACACCCTGGACAGGTCGCCAGTCCATCGCAGGGCAGACAGACAGACATATACACACAGACACACACACCCACCCACCTAGGGGCAATTTAGCGTGTCCAATTGGCCTGACTGCATGTTTTTGGACTGTGGGAGGAAACTGGAGTACCCATAGGAAACCTACACAGACATGGAGAGAACATGCAAACTCCACACAGAAAGGACCCTGGTCACCCGGCCGGGAATCGAACCCAGGCCCTTCATGCTGTGAGGCGACAGTGCTACCCACTGTGCCACCGTGCCGCCATTCATCACTTGTTACACTCCTAGAAGTAATTAAAGAAAGGCCAAACAAGGCCAAAAACAACAAATGGAGCTGTTTAATGATTTCTTAACATAAAAATGCAAATACACTGCAGTGAAATTGCACTGTTGTTGGTTATAATCGTTATTCTCCAGCTGACGTTACTCAGCATGACTGAAAGTGAGTCAGCTATGTTTTATTGTTAAGTATAAGACAAAAAACAAAAGCTTAATAAAACAAATTTATATTCAATTTGATCATTTTGTCAGTTGTACAAGTTTGTTTATACACGTCATTAAGAACACCTTCTTGTATCTATGTTCTTTGTCCATTTTATCAGGTCCATGTGCCATGCAGGTGCACTTTGTAGTTCTACAATTACAGACTGTGGTCCATCTGTTTCTCTACATACTTTCTCTACATACCTTTTTCCCTGTTCTTCTAAGGTCAGGACCCCACAGGACCACCACAGAGCAAGTGTTATTTGGGTGGTGGATCATTCTCAGCACTGCACTGACACTGATGTAGTTGTGGTGTGTTAGTGTGTGTTGTGCTGGTACGAGTGGATCAGACACAGCAGTGCTGCTGGAGTGTTTAAACACCTCAGTGTCACGGCTGGACTGAGAACAGTCCACCAACCAAAAACATCCAGCCAACCTGTGACCTCTGATGAAGGACTAGAAAATGACTAACACAAACTGTGGAGGTGCAGATGAGCTACTGTCTCTGACTTTACATCTACAAGGTGGACCAACAAGGTAGTGTGTAATAGAGTGGACAGTGAGTGGAATAATTAGTTTGGCTTGATTTATAATTGCTTTTAAAATACACCGAATATGCTTTTACCAATATGGAAAAAAATAAGTGAGATTATGTGAGATACACATCAAATACATCGTTTCATTTCACACACCAAAGTACTTTAAGCAAAAAAAAACAAAAAACAACAACAACAACAAAAAAAATTTCATACATATTTAATTGTAGTTGATAAATACATTTTACATATACTTCTTTTCCGTATGGGTACACTTTTTGTGTTTTTCTGTTAGAAGCATTCCTATGTTTAAAAATAAACCAAGACTTCTATTTTTTGGCTGAAAAATAGTGCATCATTTATCACATCATATCACTATAATTGATACGTTAATTAATATGATTATATGATTCTAAAATCCATAATCAATTTTGTACTTACAATTTTTTTCATCGCTTCCATCCTGACAGTCTTCACTGAAGTCGCACACATACTTCTCCAACACACACTCTCCGCTCACACACTCAAACTGGTCAGACTGGCACGACTGACCCAACACACACACCACAGCACATGCCAAGAGGAAGGCCGACACACAGACCGCCATTAGACCTTCCAACTGACAACTTACAACCTCATACACATCGACACACTCTCACACACACACATCCACACCACGCACGACTCCTGGAAAGCCACACACTCCGACCCCCTGTAATCCCCCTGAACCTGGAAACTCGCAAATCTCATGCAGACCACCTGTGCTCGACCGTGTATTCAGACAAAGAGAAAGCAGCTCACTCAGACAACCCACAGGCCATAAATGACCTTTTATGACTGTTACTCAACAGATATGCAGTGTGTGTGTGTGTGTGTGTGTGTGTGTGTGTGTGTGTGTAGAAGCAAGACTAAAGTCAACTTCTAAGTCATTGGCTCAAGATAAATCCATTGTAAAATCTACCATTCAACCTTAAGCCTTAAATGGCAGGTGCTCAGTAACACACACTGCACAATCTCAGTGTAACTTCTTATTGCAGTTTCTGTTCCATATAATGCAACACAATGGAAAATGTGGAAGGTGAATTGAGCCGCTTTGTGTTAGGCCTCATTAGTTCTGCCTGCTGCCACACGCTCGCTTTACAAATGTTCGCTCAGATGTAATTTCATTTTTCATGAATCAGCGGCTAAAGGACGCCAGCCGGACACGGGGTTAACCAGTAGAGGAGTCGTGCCGGTCATAATAATATTGCAACAACCTTCAGGGGAGACAAAACACCCAGTGAATATAGCAGCATGTGGGCCGTTCTCTTGTTTTATTCAATAGAGAGGAAATGACGAGTTTTAGATGATTAATGAAACGTTGTTTCACTCTTTGTTTTCGTGTGTTGGCAGCATATTCAGAAAATGTTTTATGTTGGTTCTTAGGTTGTTGACAGCAGGCTGCAGACCCGCAGGAACTTCTGTCTTGTTTGTTGACATGCAATAAATGTTAAGATGAGTTTAGAGTGAAATATGTCTGTACGAGGAGCCTAACAAAGCAGAAGCTGTTAAACAGGCCACTAGAGCTGTAAAATTGAGAAATGTAAACATCATGAAAGTTCAGCTTGTTCAATTTTGCAAGGTTCAAATTGAATATACTTCATTATTAGAATATTTACTAAAGTACTTTCTACATTTCTACATTTACAGCATTTAGCAGATGCTCTTATCCAGAGCGACTTACAAAAAGTGCTTTGTCTATCCAGAGAAAGTATCTTTGCTAGTTACCGATAGGTTAGAGAGAAAGCCAGTCCTGAGCTCAGATACTGCTAGAATCAGAAAGTCATTGACACCTAGTGAAAAAGGAACAGAGTTAAACACAGAACAGTGCAATACAATACAATACGTAAGTGCTGTACAATACATTACAATCAATACTTAATTCAGTGCTCATTTAAGTGCTGTATAAAGAGATGAGTGTCTTCAGTCTGCGTTTGAAGACAGCGAGAGACTCTGCTGTACGGACAGCCAGTGGGAGTTCATTCCACCACCTGGGTGCCAGCACAGAGAACAGTCTTGATGATAGGCTAATTAAAGTATGTGCTAATTAAAGTCCAAAATACATTATTCAGGCTATGCCCCCTTGTCTATGTTCTCCTACTATGTAAACAGATCCACCAGTGACATTTGTGTTTACAGTGTATCTTTAAAAAAATTGAATCGTATCACAGCCAATCAAATCCTAGTGAAAGCTAAGATTGGTACATTCACAGGGGAACCTTCAGGGCTTTCTAGGCCTAATGATTTATAGGAACCAAAAATACATCTGTAATTTAGTTCATTTTTTATTTAATCATGATTGTTGAATCTAATCACTGCAAGTATAAGTAGTGATAGTTTTAGTTTAAGTTGTGGTTTAAAACCAGGTTTAGGATGTAATGGAACACAGTATTCAGAAATTAAGTATTTGAATTCAGTCCAAGTTACATGTAAAGGCAATATTCAGAATAGAGTTATTTTAGTATTTTTAGGAGAATAGTTTTAGAATTCTTCCCTAATAAATAATAAAAAAAACTTCAAAAAAACATCATCAATGCTTGTTTATTAACTATTTTAAAATCAGAACACAGCATGTAGCAAATATGCTTATTAAATTAATTCTAAAGAGGACCTCAATTAACAGCTTCTTTACACACACTGAAGTTCTGATAGTAGACTGATAAATCAATCTTACTGAGCTCTTTTGAAGGATGATCAAACTAATGATCTCCTCAGTAGTGGACATGTTTGAGAGTGATAAGTTTAGGACTCCTACTCAGGGGATTGCGGGAGAGCCATGGACTAAACAGGCGATGACAGAGAAAAGTTAAAAATTTCAGAATTTCAATGATTAGCAAGCTTTCCATGAAATTTATTTACAGAAGAATTACATGAAGAAAACTGCCAGCCAGTAACAGAGAGGAATGAATTAAGATAAATGAAATAAAAATTACAGCAGAGTTTTCCCATGTGTCATGTGAATACGTTGTTGTGGAATACATTGCTAAATGCAGGTTATAATTCCTAATTCCTAGGTTATAGAATTGTATGATAAAACTTCGGGCCCACCAGCAGGCCCATGGCTTGTTAAGGTTAACCAAGTATCAGTCAATTGTTAGAAATGGTAAACAGTGGCAGTTCTGTGATTACTATGTCTGTTACAATCTCTAAACAAAATAGGTGAATGTGTTTTACAAGCTTCAGATGTCTGTTTGATCTAGGAGAGCCATGTTTATGTGCACTGGTACTAGTTTGGCGCTAACATACTATTCTAAATTATCTAGCAGAAATTCATTTTTAGAGTTCTGACATTTATGACCCCAACTGTAGGCCTAGCTTGAATTGTCACAGGTAACTCATGGATATGTTTATTAAGGTATTATAGTAAATAGAATCATGATGAAATTAGAGATTTCATGATATATTAGATCAATTTTGAAAGAATTATAAGCAAACTGAATCATATTAAGGTCACAGATTTCCACTTCTGCAGACAATCAGTGGACTGAAGTATTGTCTTCAGGTACATAGCATGTTTTTCTAAGAACTGTGAAGTTTTAGGTGTTTTTTTTTTTGTTTGTTTGTTTGTTTTAATTTGCAAGTGTTATATAATTATTTCACAAGACTAAAGTTTCATTGCTCTGAGCCATTAGCAGAAACTGCCATTGTCATAGTGACAGGAGCAGCTGTCCATACTCAGATCTTATAACCTTAACAGCTGTAAGAAAAGTAGTCAGATCTGGTACAAATTTGTGTAAGAACAATTTCTAAGTCAGGCTCTCAAGCAGCCCACAGAGACAAACCATTAAAATGATAAAAATTCAGAATGCTACACGTCAGTATAGCTACATTCAGAGACACTTATCAACATGTCAATTTCTTTTTATTACTGCGAGGACAGACTTATCCATCTTTTCAGTCTGCTTTGGTTTAGGCATTTTGCTCCCTTGGCTGCCATCACAAAAAGCTATTCCACTTCATTAAGTTTCTCATAGACAGCCCCATTTCTAAACGTATTTATTACATGTCAACAACCAGGGCACGAGGATATTTGCCAACATGTTCTTTAAAGCCATAACGTTTTTTATATTCATTCAGATAAATGTGTTTAGACCAGTTACAGGATTGCAATCATTCGCTGACAGGCATACAATTACAGTTTGAATGAGAAGAATGAGCCACAGATCAGGCATGTAGGCTTGACTGCCTGTCTAAACACAGCATCTAGGTATTAAAGGCCTAATAAAGTCCATAATATAAATATTCTACTATGGCATTCTCATATACATTCATGTTCATGATCATATAACAACATACAAATGTATAAAAGCAAAAGGCATCTGAATTCATTTCAAGATAGAGATGATAAATATAGAGGGGCTGGCTACATAGCCATCTGTTGAAGTCTGCTTCTTTAAAAAGATATTGGCAGCTTGTTAAAGCATTATTAACAGATCATACTGGGCTGTAGTTACAGTTGTATGCAAAAGTTAATGCATCAGTGCATAATATTACATGTTTTGTTAATTATTTAAGTAAAAATAAATTCACACATCCTCTACAGAGAACACATTTCTGCATATTTTAATGTACAATATCTTTTTTTTTGCTGAATTTAACATATTGTGAAAAAAAATAAAGCCTCAAATGTAGCCTGTACAAAAGTTATGGTACATTTTTCATTTTATGTTTTATTTCTAATATGTTAAACTTAGGAAAATAAAAAATAAATTGCACTTAAAGCAGCAGGAAAGTGTTTCAGTGCGTGTTTTCTGTAGAAGATGTGTTAACCTATTTTCACTTAGAAAATCAACAAAACATTTCATTTGATCAAAGGTGTTCAAACTTATATATACTAACTGCAAACTGCTCATAAATAATAAAATTGCTAACATCCTTAAAAATCTCTCAAATTAAGTACTTTCTATAGTGTACCAGCCACTTCTCGTGCAAGTAGTATTTTTACCAGCCAAATTAGTTAGACCGCAAAATTTTTTTATTAAGAAGGGACATTACTAGTGAGACTCCATATCTCTTATCCTATTAGGACAGTTAGCAGAACAGTCATAGTTTCTGGAATCTTGTTTTCTTTTCACAGTCATTATGAGCATCATGCCTTTGGTTACCCCAATATATTTTTTCAGTCTGGGTGATAGATAACCACTCTAGACAGCACATTAATCTTTATCACAGGCTATTGCTACTCAGACCAATAACACACTAAAACAGCTGTACAAACATCAAATATAGCTTTAGATAACAGTGTGACTGTGTAGTGGGAAATCAGAGCTACTCTGCATATCCAATAAAAAGTCTGGTAAAACAGCAACTTGTTTGATTAAAATGCAGTGACAGTAATTTCAGATGTCCATGATAATGGTATAATGTATGTTAAATACTGCAACTCATTATCAAATATCAGCACATGTTTATAGGACAGTTATCTTTACTAAGAAATTAACTTAGCCTTTCCAGAAGCATAAAAGCTAAGAAGATGTTCAATTTGTTTATATACGCCATTGTTTCAGATATGTCCAGTAACTATTTCTTCCTCAAAACAGTTTAGGGGCCTATATTAGACAGTGAGGGCAAACATCAATGGAAACAAATACAAAAGCAAATCTTGAATATTTTTACCCTCAGATGAGGACAGAGTTTACAGAATGCTTAATCTCTTGCAAATGCAAATCTCTTTACCCTTCTCGATCTCTCTCTCATGAATTTGCAGCTCCACAACCTGAATTCACCTTTGGCGTCAGCAGAGAGGTCACAGTGCTGCATAAGGGTATCTGACATAA